TCTCCTGCCTCAGCCTCCTAGAAACCTGTAGACATGCTGGACACGTTTTGTTTGGGGTTTGAAGCTAGAAATGGCAAGGGGTATCCCACGTCTTCCTGTCGTCTATCTTCTCCCATCACTTCACTAAAACCAACAAGCAAAATCAGAGCAAAATGACAAGACAACTTACTTCATATTCTAGGAATCAGCCCAGTTCAGTTCACTCTGTGGCTTCATGATGGGTTAAACTTCACTCAACTGTACCTTCAACAACTGTATCCGAAGTCTGAAGTCTGACAACATCTTTGATAATAATGTACTTTCAGGCAAGAGCAGTTTCAGTGCGAAATTTTCATAACATCATTAGGAAGCTTTTCAGCTCCCAATTCTTGTAATTTCCCCTTTCTAGCATAGTGGATCTTGAAGCTGGGTTCGATATCAGGCTGTGCTCCTGACTGTCCTGTGTCCTGGGGTTACTGGCCCCAGCTCCCAGACCCTGAGCCAGCATGAACTGCATGTTCTGGCTAAATGACTTTTTTTTTTTTTTTTTTTAGACGGAATTTCGCTCTTGTTACCCAGGCTGGAGTGCAATGGCGCGATCTCCGCTCACCACAACCTCCGCCTCCTGGGTTCAGGCAATTCTCCTGCCTCAGCCTCCTGAGTAGCTGGGATTACAGGCACGCGCCACCATGCCCAGCTAATTTTTTGTATTTTTAGTAGAGACGGGGTTTCACCATGTTGACCAGGATGGTCTCGATCTCTTGACCTCGTGATCCACCCGCCTCGACCTCCCAAAGTGCTGGGATTACAGGCGTGAGCCACCGTGCCCGGCCAAGCTAAATGATTTTTAACGTTAACTATTTCTTGGATGTACTTTCATAGGTTAAAAAAAATCACCTCCTACCATGACCAATGGTTCTTTGTTTTGGAAAGGTGCAACCAATTTTCAAACTGCCATTTAAATCTCATCACCTTTAAAAATCAGGATTTGAAATAAATGTGTTGCCTAAATGCATATAGTAGATAGAGAACTTGAGGAGTTCTTATGAGTAATAATGCTTATACCCAGTTCTCAAATGATGTATTATTTTTATAGTCTTCTTATAAATCACTATCACTTGAAATAATATATCTGACTGGTAAAAGGAGTAGCTAGGTATGCAATGACTATTTTAGCCATATTAAAAGCAGCAATTTGTATGTCTGAGATTTTACAATTTACAAAATGTCACGTGTGGTATCATAAAAATAGTCAAGTCATATCAAGTACATTAATTAAATTGTGTTTGAGAAATTTTGGAACCACACTAGGAAAAATTTTTGAAATGTGATATGATGGCTAAATTTCTAGGATAGTCTTTGTATAGTCTTTACTTTTCTCAGTCTGGATAAAAAGAACAAAATACTTTAGATAAATGATTTTTCTTTCCTATCTTTGTGAATGATTTTAGTCTTCCATACTAATATTTACTGAGTGCTGGCTATGTACCAAGCATTTTACCCACATCAATTCATTTAATCCTTAGCACAACTCTATGAGCTATATACTCTCTCTCTCTCTCTCCTTTTTTTTTTTTTCCCAGACAGAGTCTCGCTCTGTTGCCCAGGCTGGAGTGCAATGGCACAATCTCAGCTCACTCTAACCTTCGGCTTCTAGGTTCAAACTATTCTCTTGTCTCAGCCTCCCAAGTAGCTGGGATTACAAGCACATGCCACCATGCCCAGCTAATTTTTGTATTTTTAGTAGAGACGGGGTTTCACCATATTGGTCAGGCTGGTCTCGAACTCCTGACCTCAGGTAATCCACCCGCCTCAGCCTCCCAAAGTGCTAGGATCACAGGCATGAGTGACTGCACCCCGTGGAGGTATGTACTCTTATTACCCCATTTACTAGATAGTTTAAGTATCTTGTTTAATGAAGTCATACAGTGAGATAGCAGTTAGACTTTTTGTGACTCAGGCAGGCTTCCTGACTTCAGTGCCTATGCACTTGTTTTCATTATGTTTGTAGTGTCCCATACCTCTTAACCTTCAAATAGACTTATCTATGAATGTTATATTGCAAATATCCACTCAGTAACCTCTTAAGTATAAAGTCAACGAAGAACGGATGCTCTTTCACCTGGTTTTTATTTAAGAGATAGTATAGCTCTGTGTTAAGAACACAAAATCCAGAAGCAGACTGCCTGAGTTTACATCTCAGCAATATGATCTTGAACAAGCTACTCAGCCTAGAAGTGTCATGATTTGTTTTATAAAACAAGAATAATAACTATCATAGCACCTATCACATACACGTTTTGACAATCAAGTGAGTTACTTGGAACAGTGCCTGATACACAGTAAACCTCATAAGCCTTTTCTTTTTGCTATTGTTTAATCTACTCACATCGAAATGTGCAAAATGGTTAAAAAATATTCAGTGATGATTTACTCTGACTAGCATGGAGTAGGTACTCCATCAGTGTTTGATGATTTGAGTCTAAAGCAAATATAAAGATGACAAAAGTGCAGAAATATTTTAATCAAAATTTTATCTAAATGTAAAGTTTTTATTGTCGTACACACATTCCAGGATTTGTTTGGCTAACGGGATTCAGAAGTATCTGGGAGCTTCAGTTTATATCAGGCTACTAATTGATTAAACTCCAAAGAAATTCCATGGGTAATTGGTATAATATGAGAATCCTGGTGCTTTGTAACTCCCTTTATCTCAGGTAAATCAGTTTTCTTGAGCATATTGCAATAGTGTTTACTGAGTTAGGTACTCTGTATGCATGTGATTGTCCAATTCTACCAACAGCATAAAGAATATATTCTATAATCACCATTTTAGAGAGGAGGAAACATGTCCAGGGTCAGTCAACCAAAAGGAAGTAGAGTCAGTATGAAGGCACAAGTTGTCTTCTTGCAAAGCACAAACCTTTCAGTTGCCAATGCTAACCATAGCTAACAATCATTAAAACAATAGCCCAAATTAAAGTGGTGGGAACAAAAAGGCAGAAAAGTGGTGTTGAATGCTTCTTCCACCACTTAGAGGCAAGTCATTCAACTTCTTTGGACAGAGAATCGACAGAAAAAGAACACTAAACTACTTTTTCTGAGGCATACTAAGCTAGTTTTCTTGCAGTCTCTTTCCAGTCTATGGTATTTATTTTCACTGATTTTTGTTTTTTGTGTATATGTATTTGTTGAGCATCTGTTATGTGCAAGGCACAGTGTAGAAGCTCCACAAGATGAAAAAAAAAATGAAACAGGATGTAATTATTTGCTTCCTTTGAGAGTACTGGTGATAATAAACCATAAAGCTCAGGGAGTTTACCCTCTAGTTGGGGAAGGGCGTGGCAAATCTGTCACCTCTGTACCAGAGGAGAAGTAAGGTCTGTGCGAGTTCTGAGGAGACAGGAAGCATAATGAATGGGAAGAATTAGGAAAAGACTTCAAGGTGTAGATGCTGTTTAAACTGAGCTTTAAGAACTGGAGCAAGGACATTCTGACTGGAAGAGAGTCGAGTTGGAGGTGGGCAGATAAAATCATAGTGTCTTCATGAAACAATGGTCTTCCAATTTGGACGAACTGAAGAATACTGGAAGATAAGGCTAATTTAGATTGAGCAGGCAGGTTAAGAAGATTAGGTTACTTATGAAGAAAGAAAACCTTTAAGCTTTTTGCATGCGTGTGAAGGCTTAAAGCTCTACTTTAGGAAGATTAACTCAACTTAGCGTGTTGACTCCTTTCGAGCCTAGGAGCCTGAGAGAATCCTGGTACTATTGATGGAAAATAGGAAATCCGGAGGAGCTGGTTTGTTTCTCTCACCACCAAATTCAGATTTATGTGTATTTAATTTGAAGAACTGTAGAAATGTTGGACTGGACTTTAGGAGAAGCAGCAGAAGAGAGGAAACCGAGCCGGTACAGACCTCAGGGAGGGACACACGGAGTTAGTCGGCAAGAAAGAGAAGCCAGTGGGGAAAGAGAAAAGAAGCAATCAGTGGAAACAGTGGAAAAGCAGTTCCATATTTGGGGGCAAAGGAGAAAAGAACTGCAGAAAATAAATGAAGACCCATTAAATTGTAAGCTTCTTGAGAGGGAGGTTGTTGTAAGACGATATGTTTATTTAAATATTTCCCACAACAGGCATGGTACCATGTTTCTCACATTCTTAGCACTTGGTGAATGTTGACTGAGGTCTATATCGTGCAGTGCTACACAAAGTTTGAGGAGAGTGAAGACTGAAAAGACCATTTGTCTTTATGATCAGATCTTTGGTCATTGATCCTGTATTATGAATTTCCAGCCTTTCTGTTTTAAGAAACATAAAGGGCAAAGATATTATTTGTATCAAAGATTAAGGCATATACAACATTGCCTCTAGGTCATGTGTTCTGTTGGACCATGAATATAAAAATGTCTGGTTTTGTAATAGTACAAAATTGTCCCTCAGCACTCTGCTGGTTTGTATGAACATCAGCATGTTTGAGAATGTGTGCAGGAAGGTGGAGGTAACCAAGCTGTCCATCTCTAGAAAAGACCAGTGTGGTAGGTATACAATGAAATAGTAAGCCACATCAAAGGCCCTGTACTAGATGGAATATGGTAACACAGTTGTATCTTGTAAACATCATGTCCAGTGAAAAGCAATAAGAAACAGTTATGAGTAAAAAATATAAGAAATAAGTGAGAAGTATGACAGAAATAAAACACAGAAATAAAAGCTATAACATAATAACATCTGTGTAAGTAATAACAAACTCAAAACAACACTGTCCAACATAATACAAGGACACATACTTAGCCAAAGACATATTCATTAGAGTAAATGTCTCCTGGGGGTGGTGAGGGAATAAACATGTGAATCAGGATGATAGAGAATATCAGATAAAACAAGGGAAAGACTTCGAAAAGATGAATGATGAGGTATGTGATTAATTCATGATTTGAGTAGACATCGAAAGAAAAGAGGGAATATGTGATGGAGGCATTTTTTTTCAAATCTCAAAGGCTCATACAATGACAGGTATACTATATAGGTTTTACATTTATTATGCTCATTGGCAAACAAAAACAGAAATAACATTATCTATAGTAAAATTCATGCATATGATAAGGTCTGTTAATTTGTACTTCAACTATATGGCTCAAAGTGACATCAGATATGTTGGGGAAATCAAGAAGGGTGGGGTTATTCATCATAGTTTGAACAAAAGAACACACATGGTGCCACCCACAGGCTCTTCCAACACGAAGAAGCTTTCCAACTGGTAGACCTCAACCTAATATTTAAGACTACCATCTAAGGCATTACTAAGCGTAATAGTCACAAATGTGACTATTTTCTAGGGCATCACATATTGTGTAATTAGCAAGCAGGAATTCAGTACTGACATTTGCATTCTAGCTTAATAGTTACATTTATTACTCCTTTTTATTAAAAATGTGTGTTTTAGCAAGTTCATCTTCTACCTATTCAAATAATGAGATTCTCTCTCATCAAAGTCAAGTCCAGCTTAAGCATACTTGCAAAGATATCCCCAATACATAGTGATTAGTAGAAAATATGAATAGAGGATAAAAGACAGTTTACTTTATAAAGCATGCAGTAACCATGATTTCACATGTAGTGAAATCAATTGATTTCTGCTTCTTCCTCACTCTTTTTAAACTGAAAATTAAAACTAGCAAGTCATGCACCCCCCATTGGAAGCCTCATTGAAGGTCTGAGAAGTTAATGCTCAAGGTGATGTGTTTTTGCCTTGACTGCTCTCAACACAGTATTCCATCTGCTATTCCTTTGTTCCATCTGCTCTTTCTTAAACCTGTCTTGAAAAGAACAATGGTTATCTTCATCCTCTGTCTCAGAGATGATCTCCATCTTCTGAATGATAAGTTTAATGAGCTCATGCTGTTTTTCCAGAAGAAAAGTAAGATCCTTCAGCCTAAAAGGACATACACGTCTCATGAATTTATATTCAGTTCTTCTTTTAGCCCTTCTGAACATAGGAAGACATAGATTTTAACCTCATGGTAGTCATATCGTTCCAGGAATCACATATTTTTGAAGTTTAAACAATGTTTCCCAAAGTTATACTGTTAGTTCATGGCTAGTTTATTTTTGTTCACAGTTTACAGATAAACTATTATAGAGAAAGGTTAAGCAGCTTGCCCAGGGTCACAGTTATTAAGTACCTAGTTGAATAGGGGTTTGAACTCACGTACTAACTAACTATAAAACCCTCATGCTTAACTACTGCCCACCACATAGTTACTCCAGGGATCTTCAAAAGCTTTCAGAGCTTTGCTTTATGAATTCAGATGAAGAATACAGTTTATGATACTACCTCCAAGAGAAAGGAAATCAGTATCTTTCACTTATTATTGGAAGGCAAACTGATTGTTGAATAGTGGCAAATATGTTGTTGGTTCTAAAAAATGTCTCATGACTCTCAATATACTAGCTATGACTGTCTAAAGCCTGACTTAATATATAAAACAAACAAACACCAATATAAAATATAACCTTACACTGTACATTATTATTCATGAATTTTAAATTTCTCCAAGTGCAAATAGAAAGAAAAATACATACCGATATTTCTGCTTTAATATTTCCATTTCTAAAGATGTGTCAGCATTTGGTATTTCTTGTCTTATTTCTCCAGTGCAAAATAAAAAAAAGAATATATGCTGTGGGATAAAAAAAAATAGTAGTTACTCAAATTGAATTCAGTTCAGGAACTTTTTCTTAAGCATGTGCCAAAATTCAACCACCACTGGTACAAATATGCATAAGGCATAGCTATGCCCTCAAGGAACCCACAATTTGCCAGGAGAAACAGACATGTGAAGAAAGAGTTGTGAAATGAAGTCATACATATTATCAGAGAGAAATAAAACAGAAGAGGAGTAAATTAGGGTAGGAAATTATTTAGAAGGGGGCTTAGCTGAATTGTTTTATACCGTTTTCATGAGAAATGCTCATCATGGAAGGTGGTATTCCATATGAGATTCATTGTTAATTATCTAAAACTGCATTGAGCATTATCCAGTACAACTCAACCAACCAATAAAGTTTTACCTGGAGAAATTTCTGGAATGTTATTTTAATACATTTTGATTTAATGTAGTATCTTTTAAACCATAGGTTGACTGGAGAGGGTCAAGGGCAGATGTGAAATGATCAAGAATGAGGTAATTCTAAGAGTCCAGGCAAGAGAAAACGGTGACTTGCACAGGCAACCCAAGAAGTCAAATGGACCAGATTAAGAGGAGAAGGAGGGGGAGGGGACAGATCTAGGATGTCTTCTGGGTGGCTGGCTTGCACAGGCTAATGAACAGTGCTGACATTGCTGCAAGGAGGAACTTTAAAAAAGGACCGGGACTTTTATACTTTTTTTCCTGTAGGGGATATGCGAGGAGAGGGTTACACATGAAAGCAGTGAAGTTTGGTTTTGAACCTGCTGAATGTGAGGCACCTTTAAGACATGCAAGTGGAGATGTCAAGTAGGCAGCTGGATGTAGGGGCCAGGAACTCAAGGGTGAGCTCTAGGATAGAGAACTTAGTTGCTGAGCATTCTGTGTTTCGGCAGTAATTGTAACCACGGACATGAGTGAAATCAGATGGAGAGATACTGCGGGGTTAGAATAAATCCTAGACTGATACTCAGGGCAACTTTATCATTTTATGATGACACAGGGGAAATTAACCTGAAAAGAACTTAGGAAGCACAGTCGTAGAGATGAAGGGAGCCAAGGCATGCTAAGGATTAGCACCCAGTTATTCTTGCTCTTCATATGGTCCCTCTTCCATTGTAATGCAATGATCTTGTTTAGTTTTTGATTACTTAATTACTTCATTTTCTATAGTGGACACTCCGTGTGTGTGTGCGTGTGTGTGTGAGACATGGTTAGGCTTTGTGTCCCCACTAAAATTTCATTTTGCATTATAATCCCCATAATCCCCACGTGTCCAGGGAGAGACCAGGTGGAAGTAATTGGATCATGGGGGTGGTATCCCCCACACTGTTCTCATGATAGTGAGTGGGTACTCACAAGATCTAGTGGTTTCATAATTGTTTGGTAGTTCCTTGTGCTTTTGTTCTCCTTCCTGCTGCCTGTGAAGAAGCTGCCTTTCTTCCCCTTCACCTCTGCCATGATTGCAAGTTTCATGAAGTTACCCTAGCCATGCGGAACTGCGTGTAAATTAGACCTCTTTCCTTTATGAGCTACCCAGCCTTGGGCAGTTCTTTATAGTAGTGTGAAAACAGATTAATATAGCGTGTATATGTGTGTGTGTATAAATGTGTACTCTTTATTGTGTATTACAAACACTTGACTGTACATACACACATATATATTTACACATAAATGTAAGTGACATGTGACTAGGAAAAGCAAATAAAGTATATCTATACTGTATAAAAGACACTGAAAGGGTATGGCTGGTCCCCCGCCCATCTTCTCTCACAGGGACAGCTCATATTTAGCACAGATGCTATGGATGCCTGAAAGGGGACAGCAAATGTCATCCTCCTCTCACCTAGCTCTTTCACATCTTGGGTTAATCATATCCTTTTTCTTTTTAAAGCCCAATTTCTCTTCCCACAGGCAGAGAAGACTCAAAGTCTTCAAAAGGGCCCCCTCAGGGTTAACACAATGAATGCATGTCAAACAGTGTTACGTTACTGATGTTGCTGTTATGTGTACTTACGAATAATATCCCACCAGATCTGGGTTTGTTGGGATACACGATAGTGGATTTCTGATCCACTTTATGTAGAAACCATAATGGCAGCTTCTTCTCTAAGCTGGTGTGAAGTTCCACCTAAAGCGCATTTTGGATTTATTGAAAGAATCATTAATTAGTATCTGGAATTTTTATATGGCACAGAGGCAATCATTATTACAGCAAAACGAAAACTGATTTCTGTGTCCTGACTTCTGTGTCACAGCTGGGCTGGCCAGGCTTCCTTATCCTGTAGCTCACAGTCACCTGCCTCCTTGTCTCACCTCACCCACATACAGGGCAGCAATTTATCTTGGAGCCAGAGAAGAAGGAGAGGGGGAAGTTGCTTAAAAAATGAATTCAATTTTAGTCACCTGCTGTTTATTGTTCAGGGATAGTCACCTGATGTTTATTGTTCAATGCGGGAGCTTTAAAGATGAAAAGGATAGTTCATACTCTTGGGGTGTTGCAATACTACAAAATGTGCACAGCTGGACAGTGCAAATGTGTACGTGCACACGTGTGTGTAGGTGTGTGTACCTATATATATATATACGCCTAGGGCAGGAGAGACAGAGGAGTGCTTAAATGGAGGAAGACAAAGGTAAGCAGTAAAAGAATCAGAACTACCATGCCTAAGAGTATCTCATGAATTTTTCATGTCTGTGCTATCAGGTGCAAAATGGTTATTTAAGATGAATTTTAAGTATAATTACTATTTTTGGGGATAGTAAATGAGATATTTCATCTCATTTAATTCTCTTTTTGTTTATGTTTACCAAATTTATCTCTGCTTTTTCTATACTCCTTTGTGTCTGATGTATAGGTATGTCTACTGTAACTACTATATAGTGAGATTTGCTTTGTAAGACCAACTACTTTCCAATATCTGAGCATTCATGTGATTTATAGCCATAAATACTGAAATGGTAAGACCTTTCCTGACACCATTGCTTAAAATTGTGGCCCCCCCCAACAGCCCCCCACATGACTTTCCCCCATGTGGCTTCCTTGCTATTTTTATAGCACTTAACACCATTTAATATACTGTGTATTAGTTCCGGTTTCAAGAAAAGCTGTGTTTTTTGTGTGTGTTTTATTAATAATACTAGTTAAATATTTTCACTGATTTTCTATGATAATTTCTGGGGTTCCTTTTTTACCCTTGGCTCTTTAAGGTGATATTACTTTCTCCTTCCCATACATATAGTTTTAGAGGTCACATCTTATTTCCTCAAACTTGATTGAAAAAGATTTACTAAAGCTCGATATTTGCCAACAGATAAAATACATAGTGTGTCTTAACCTGTTCATTATTTACATAGGTCCCTCAAATATGCTCCTGGGAGAGGTTGGCAAGCAAAGCCCCAAGTCCAGTGTGGGTCTGGTGGGACCCACTGAATCTGGCTCCACTGGGCTCAGGGAGCATCTTTACCTCCTCTAACTGGTGGGGTTTCCATGTTGAAGGGTAAGATGCACTCTGTGGATTTCCCTTTCGATTTGCAGTGGGGATATAATGTTTATGGACTGTCTACAGTTGCCAAAACTGCGGTGAAAAGTGGAGATACAAAATGTAAAAATACCCAATTCCTTTTATTTTATTAAAAGGAATTGAAAACTAAAAATAAAAATTACAATGGAAATTCATACAACATTTCTTTTCTTTCCACTTAGGTGCATAGAATTTGGGAAATAGGACCTTACCTGGTCCAAATGAACAGATCATGCCATTTTTTGGACTACATAAGCTTATAATTACTGTAGATTCTATTTTGTGTGCTAGCATATTGTATACCATCAGATTTGATAAGTGTATGACTTATGTATTTAAGCCATTCATAAATATTTGGAACACACACACACAAATAAAAAAATAAAAACACCCAAACAGCTTCAAGGCCCTCAAAATACTCATGACACCTGTCCCTGAGAAACTGAGTCCCCATAAAGAACACATCTCCCACCCTATGTTGTCCCAAAGCCTGTCTTTACTTCCCTTTGAGATGATTCTATGAGAGAACTAAATGGCCCTGTAGGAAATGTGTGCTACCTGTCCCCTTCTGCTCGCAGTTCTACTGTGGGCTCAGACAGAGGTTTCGGAATGGATGCAGAGAGTTGCTTAAGAAGCAACTCAGGGGAAGTAGAAGAATGGCTTCCTGGTTTTCCAGTTGATGCTGTATTTGATCCAAAACAAGGCACAGATAACATGGAGGTACTAGGATTTGTGCTGTTTGCTTTCAGGGAGCAGAGTTAACAGTATAGGATTGTGCTTTTCAGCTCAACCCCACTGACGCTGTAGTTGAGCAAGCTTCCCCAACACATTTTATTTGGTGCTATTGCTTGTATTATTCTTTCTATTTATTCCCCAAGTTGTTTTAAAGAGCTATCAGGGCAGTTCTGAGGTATTGCTGACATACCTGCTAAGAGGTTTAAACATCTGCTCTCCATATCCACCCACCTGGAGTCCTGACCACCATCTTTGTGACAGTAATAACCTGTCATTAGCTTTTTCTGCCTTTGATCTTTCCTCTGTAAACCAAGATAATAGCAGATCACTATAAACACCATTTTCATTGTGGAAGGGCTAACACTAACTCTCCACTAATTTACAAAATAGTTGGAAGCGCTTCATCATTTACTGCCCTTTGCTAAGATTTTTCTCTGCTGGTTTTGAATAACCCCCCCAGTCATGTGGAGGAATCTAATCACCCACTAACACGAATGATCCTTCCAGGAAAGGAGGCCTTGGGCCAGTGCCTTGGCCATTTTCCCCAGTTCTGATGTGGCCCTTTGTTCCTGCTGGCCCCTCCTTTCAGGACGGTATCTATGTTCTGTTACATCCCAACCTCTAAAACTATATATATGGGAAGGGGAAAGTAATATCACCTTAAAGAGTCAAGGGTAAAAAAGGAACCCTGGAAATTATCATAGAAAATCAGTGAAAATATTTAACTGGTATTATTAATAAGATAAAAAAAAAACAGAGCTTTTCCTGAAACTGGAACTAATACACAGTATATTAAATGGTATTAAGTGCTATAAAAATAGCAAGAAAGCCACATAGGGAAAAGCTCATGTGGGGGGCTGTGGGAAGGGCCACAATTTTAAGCAGTGGTGTCAGGAAAACTCTTACCATTTCACTATTTATGGCTATAAATCACATCAATGTTCAGATATTGAAATTATTTGGTCTTAGAAAGCAAATCTCACTATATGATAGTTACAGTAAACATATCTATACATCAGATACATAGGGGTATATAAAAAGCAGAGAAGAAAGAATTGTGACATGTAAAAGTGATGAAAAGTACTTCAAAAGATTCAATAGCCAAGTACCTAGCCAGGAACCTTTGACACCAAATTTTGCATCAAATTGACTATAGAAAGGAGAGATGTCACAAGAGAACAACACTGCATGGATGCAGTTAAAACTTCAACATAAACCATGCTGCAAGGACCCTGTGATTCCCTGCACAAAATATAAGGAGCTCATTCGAATAGAGGGGCTAAGATGCCAGTGATGCTCTTGGTCCAGCTGCTAGCTACCTGGCTGGCCATGTGTTAACATAACAAAAGATGCTCAGGCAATTTCTCATTGTCTCTGCTATGATTGTTCTAGGACATTTTTTTCATCATCTTTGATTAGAGCAGGTATACCAGATAACATACAAACAGACACAGAATGTGACTCCTCAGGATGGAGAAAGCATCCATGCTCAATAACTGTGCTCTCAGAAAAGGAAGTAATGATAATAGTGTTAATTTCAGTAAGTTTAAATAAATGTAATTCAGACAATACCTAACTTAGGATGGTTAGACTCATGATTTTTGACTTCATGATGGTGTCAAAGTGATTCACAATCATTAGAATCTGTACTTCAAATTTTAAACTTTGATCTCTTCTGGGCTAGCTAGGTATGTGGTACTCTCCTGGGATTCCTGGCAGTCGCAGTGAGCCACAGAACCCAGTCAGCCACATGATCAGGAAGGTAAATAGCCCATACTTTATAGTGTAAGTGTTATAAATTTATAACTGGCTTATTCCTACAAAATGCCCATTTTTGACTTACAATATTTTTAACTTATAGTGGGTTTACCAGAGCATAACACTCTCATAAGTTGGGAAGCACTGTACTTACCTGCATAGCTATCCTCTTCAGTGATGCATGTTTCTGAACCTCAGCAATGTCACCAACTGCCAAACCAATCTGAAGTATGACACAAAATTTAATCACTACAGTTTAACATCCCACCTAAAAATGCTTGTGAGTTCTGTCTTAGTCCACTCAGACTGCTATAACAAAATAATTTAGGCTGGATAGTTTATAAATAGTATAAATTTATTGCTTACATTTCTGCAGGCTGGAAAGTCCAATACCAAGACTCTGGCAGAACTGGTTTCTGGTGAGAGCCCATTGCTCAAAGGGAACACTTTCTGTATGTTCCCGCATGGCACAAGGGCAAAGGAACTAAGAAGCTCCATCACACCTCTTTTACAAGGGAACCAATTCCATTCATGAAGGCTCTCCCCTCACGGCCTATTCAACTTCCAAAGGCCCCACCTTCTACTGCCATCTTCTTGGTGATTAGGCTTTTATATATAAATTTTGGATGAGATGTAAAAACCATAGCAAGGTCTCTGTGACTAAAATGGGAGAGTGGACATATGATCTACTAGCACTAGCTGCAGAATACTTTGGTAATACACCTTATAGAAAGCTACAAGGCCTATATACCTCTGCAACAGTGATGGCCACATTCAGAGGTTCAGTACTCTTAAGTGTTATGAAAACTTAAGACACAAATTAATCTGAAATTCATTTAAGATAAAAATCCATTATTTTTTGAAAGGACAGGGATCATGTGATATCAGATGCAGTTGGGTGTATCCACACAGCATGGTAGGAAACTCCAGGAGTTTAGTAATTAAGGTAGACAAACGTGATTTGACAACATGGAAAGAATACTAAACTGAGAGAATGACACATTTTATATCTCACATATGTTCAGAAGCAAAAGATATACCGTAGACGTGGGAGAGACTCCGGTGAGAAACCAGAAATTTATGACTAGATAGAATTAAGTGAGGGGAAGCCGTTAGCTCAGTTCTACTAAATCTGATGAAATTAGCTCATTTCACTCACCCATTTATTTTTCAGGCACTTAGTTTCTGCCTTTGCTGAGCCAGCATCTTGCATGCTGCACCAGAAAGGAAAAGCCAGTGACTGCTCTTGAGGAGCTTAAGGTCCAATAAGCTCAGTGAGAAAAAGATCTAGCAAGTTCACCACTGTATGCCCAGTGTTTAGTATAGAGCAGGGCACATAATAGGTATACAAAACAGTCACAGAACGAATGAAGAGTGGGAGACTATATTCTAAGGCTTGCAAACTAGCGCTGAGAACTGGATATAGTCAGGAAATAGGTTTTGCTGGGCAGGATTATTTTGTTTTGGTTTTTAACTTGCAAGTTTTCAAATTGGTGTTCTCTCCAATTTACAATGACCCCCATCAAAACCAAACATCTCTGCCAGGCACAGCATCTCACATCTGTAACCCAGCATTTTGAGAATCTAGGTGGGAGAATCACTTGAGCCCAGGAGCTCAAGACTAGCCTCAGCAAGTTGGCAAAACCCCATATCTACAAAAATACAAAAATGAGCTGGGCATGGTGGTGAGCACCTGTAGTAGCAGCTACTAGGCAGGCTGAGGTGGGAGGATCAGCTGAGACTGAGAAGTGGAAGCAGAGGTGAGCCATGATCACTCCACTGTACTTAAGCCTGGGTCACAGACTGAGAGCCTGTCTCAAAAAAAAAAAAAAATACTAACCATCTCATACCTGCTGCTTCACATATTTTAGATACTCGCCTGGGCTCTGAAGACATTTGAGCTTAGAAGCCATAGAAGAGCTCAATTATTAACTTTTAATGGTCACTAACATTTATTAAATGCTTATCATGTGCCAAGTACTGTTTTAAACGCCTTTTATTACCTTATTTAATCTTTTCAATAATCTAGGAAGTAGGTTTTATTATTATTTGTTTGTATTCTCAAAACTATGGTAACACAAGGAAAGAGCACCTAATGGAGTAAGGTAATTGGAAGGGGGTGGTGGTTAAGGAAGTCTGGCCCAAAGAAATATTATTTGAGCTGTTTTGAAAGCATAGCATTAATCTATGGTGGGAGGTTTTCAAGGCAAAAGAAAGAGCCCATACAGAGTCTAGGCAGCATGAAGGAAAGTGTGGCACACTCAGGAGTGTGCTTTTATGGGTAAATCCTGGGAACCGTGGGGTACTGGAAACGATCTGGGTAAGATCCAACTCACAGAGACTTTGTATTGCTATGCTGATGGGTTTGGACTGGATTAAAGCTTTTGAGAGGCATGAAAAAACATTTAAGAGAGCCACTGATGCATTTAGTTTTTCATTATCAAAGCATCACTATGGTGACCATTTGTAGGAAGAAATAGACAAAGCAGTGAGATAAGGTAGAGATGCTCTTGAGGCTGCTGCAGCCATTTGGATGAGGAAACATGACAGTCCAAGCCAACTGGAAGCAGATGTGAAAGCCAAAGGATTGTTGAAAGAACTGAGGGAAAAAGTGGGAGAGTGAAATAGAGACTATCTGCCAATGATCTGAGTAAGATGGCTGGGAGATTCTACTGAGAGGCAGTGGAGATTCTGAAGGAAAGATAACATCAGTCTTGGCTCTGTTGGTTTTGTTTTTCCTCCAGGACATCCAGGTAGAGATGCACACTGGGTGCCGGATGTGCGGATCTTCAGCATGGGGCCAGCCTGTACTACTGCTAAGCCCAATTCTCTTCTGGACAATTATCTCCCAAAACATAAACAGTTATAAGAGAAGAATGTGGGTTTTATGTCATTCCTCATTATTCCTAGTCCCAGCCTTTGTTTTTCTAAGTCACCAAAATAAAACTCTGGAGTTGCATCAAATAAGTGGATCAAAATACTTATGAGTCTGCATAATTTTTTTCTAGAAACACTGCCTAGTGCAGTCTCCGGTACATAGTCAGACTCAGGGAAAGTGTGTGGAATATGTGCATGTGTGCATAAATGGATAAAGAAAAAATAGGCACAAAAATGCCAATAAGGGCTCTCGATGGACCTGCAGTGGATGCACCTCTGTCTGCATCAGCCAGCATGCTCATGGCTTGAGCAGATTCTCTAGAAAATTCCACATGGAAGGGCACTCTCATGTCTGCTGACAGTGTCTAGGCTTTGACTGGGTTCAAGGTGGCATCTGAATGTCACAGATGCCCTCTGAATGTCACAGATGCCCTCTGCATGAGAGACTTTCCCACTTGAATCTCTTGTCAATGGTAAATTCGAGCATAGAGACAATATGTTCTGTAAAAGTCTCTGCCTAACCTCTGACCGCCTCTCCAACTCCAAAGCATCACACACCTTCATCTTTATTGCCTTTTCCTGCTTCTAATTCTTCATAGCATTTGTCACCCCCATAACATTATGCTACTCATTTATTTGTTTATTACCTAACTTCCTGACTAATTTGTAATCACACTGGGACTGAATATTGGTCTGCTTTCTTTACCAGTGTTTCGCAGAACTTGTAATGGTTCCTGGCATTTAGTAGATTCTCAGTATTTGCCAAGTGCAGGCATCTTTGCACACCCTGAGCCTCTTGATGTGCCTGGTGCTCCCCCGGCCCCAAATGAGTGTTGAATGAATACATAGTAGACACTTTCTCATCTCCCCAGTGGAGGGAGATTTAAAAAGTTAAAAATAATTATCATTATGAAATGTTTCAAATGATCAACAAAAAGACAATACAAGAAAAAACTACTTACAAGTAAATTCATGAGGACAATTGGGACAAATAGTGTGAAGAAAATCAGTTGTGCAAAGGACAGAACTGGATATGCCAATTCATTTCTCAGATATGGTTCTAGGAAGGACTCCCGATAATTGATATCTCCTAGCATCATGCTGAAGGTCTGGATTATAGAAAGCAATGGAGAGCTGTAGGCATCCTGAAAGCAGATGGTGAGGTACAAATGAAATGCAAAGTGTACACAATGAAAAGTGTTTCCTGCAGGTAGAATGATAAAAATTATATTCAGAATACTTTGTAAAAGTCATAGGTATATAGCTACTGAAATGCAGTGATAAAATATTAATAACAGTGGCAAATTTATCACAAGTATGTTATCTGCATAAATAAATCATCTGCATTGTACATGAACTTTTTTACAACGGACAAAATTACTTAACAAGACTATACTTTTTCTTTGCAATAAAAGTCATTTGAAAGATAGCAAACTGTTCAAATACTGTTTTATGTAATTATGAATTTTCTAGACTGTTTATATTTAAGTATAAATATATATTTCCATAACTCACAGTGACAAAATCAACTACTGATGCAACTGTCTTACCTGTAAATTCAGGAGGACGTAAAAGCTGAGTCCAAAAGCCAAGAGAAGGAAGACAAATACAACTGTAGACCTCAACAAAGTTTTCAAAATTACCTCCAACATAACAATGAAAATTCCACAATTCTCAAATCTACAAAAGTTAAAAAAAACACATTAATTCACTTTTACAGTCAGAATTTATTCATTCACTGACAATATTTATAAGGTATTAAATCAGGTATTAGATTTCACAGATGAGATCATTGAGGCCAGTTGCTTTGGAAAAGAAAACATAAGAATTAATTGAATAGTCATTTCTTAATTTTCAAGCTGTTAGTAAAATTATTTTTGCTTTTATTTTCATTATTTAAGTTATCTATTATTATTATTTTTTTTGAAACAGGGTCTTTCTTTGTCACCCAAGCTGGAGTGCAGTGGTGCTCTCATTACTCACTACGGCCTTGACTTTCCAGGCTCAGGTGATCTCCTGCCTCTGCTTCTTGAGTAGCTGGGACCAGAGGCATGCATCACCCCCAGGCTGGTCTCAAACTCCCGGACTGAAACGTCAGCCTACCTCGGCTTCCCAAGGTGCTAGGATTACAGGCATGAGTCACCATGCCAGGCCCTAGTGTTATCATAAATCATGGTACCACTTGACGACTGGACATTACGTCAATGAAGTAGGAGAGAAAAATAATAGCTTCTTAATCTAAAAAAAAAGTTACCAAATGCTTAATAAAGAAATTAGAGAAAAATTGCATGCTGGATTATGCAGAGATTGAGTTCATAAACCAGAATGTGCCTAACGCAGGGCACATACCACATGATTTGGACATCTGGCATTGTCTGCATACATTTTTGATTGTCAAAACTGGAGTGGGATGGATGCTACTGGTACCTAGTGGGTAGAAGACAGGAGCTAGGAATGCTGGCAAGTATTTTACAATATATAAGACAGTCCCTCTCCACAAAAAGAGGGAGAAGTGAATAAGAAGAAAGAAGAGGAAAGAATAAGAAAGAAGAAGAAACAAAGAAGAAAGAAGGAAGAGGAGAAGGAGGAGGAGGGGGAGGGAGTGGGGAGGAAGAAGAAGAATTATCTGGCCATAAAGTTCAACAGTGCCAAGTTTGTGAAACCCTGGTCTACATTCTGAACTCTGAAACTATGCTCCAGCCTTTCCTTAACAGGGTGTAAAAAAGTTCTTCACATTTTGAAACAACTGGAAAAGGAGTAAGCCAGTTTTAACTTTATACCACTTATAATAGTTTTTCTTTTGATATTAAAAATGCTTAAAGGATGTGGAAATTATTCAAGATTGTTTTACCTTTGAAGATACAATAAAAAGTTCATCCAATAGAGGTAAATAGCTATTGCTCCACATTGCCACTGCACATGAGCTGGTATTTCAATGAATAAGGGCAGCACAAAAATGATGCCTGTCGTGTAGATAATCCATTCAATAATATTGTTTATATCCATAAAGTAATTCCTTTTCTGTGACAGAAAAGAATAAAAAATTACCACATATAGTGACCTAGCATCTATGGATGGCTATATATATGTACCCAGTAATAAACTTTTTCTAGCTTTACAGCCATCTGGAGAGAAGTTTAGGACCAAGGAGCAACATTATGCCATCCTGGATTGACTTCAGAGCCCCTGGGGTATGGATCGGGGTCGGAGATGTCCCAGAGTCCTCTGTGAACCTGGTGTTGTGGGAGTAATGCATAAGGAAATCCTACAAATTGCTGGGTTTTCCCTGTGGAGTCCATTTCATATTAAGAAAACTTCTTGGGAATTGCAAGTTGGTTTAGTAATTTCTGGGGCCTTTCTACCTGTATAAGAACATGAATGTGTAGCTATCTTTATGAACTCAGGCTTGTCTAAAAAGGTTTGAGACATGCACTAAGACTTAATTAGGAAATAAAACCAAATAATAATGGTATTTTCAAACTTTTTATGTATTGGGTATTAAATTTCCAATAGACTATTTAAATATCAATAAGAAAATGTAGAGACCAAATCTGAAAGAGAATTCATATAACTTTATATCTCAATTTAAACTACAATCTGCAATTTTCATTTCTGGAAAATGAAAATAATGGCAAGAAAGATTAAGGAATATGCCTTAAATTGTTTAAGGTAAAATGCAACATTACAGTGTAACTCTCAGAATTGTGACAAATTTCTTAAAGTATCTATATGAAAGTACTTGCAATGTATAATATTTTAAAAATGCAAAGCATTTTATCAAATTTATAAATGCAAATATATATGTGCTTACATGATGCAACAAAGAAAATTTTCACAGAAAGTGAGGTGTTGTATAAAAGACATATGATTTATAAAAATAACATTCATGAACATATACAAAAAGAATTTATAAAAGACTTTCAACCTCCATACTGAGAAATGAAGGATCTATGCCATGTATGAACCAAAGGAAGGGCAAGCTGCAGATAATTTATATACTTGGTTGTGATCTGAACTTGGCTCACTTGTTTAAATGGTACAATATAAAGTAAAAATTTTGCTGTAAAAAGTTCCAAAATTGTATTAAAACTTGGAGGTTTATTTAATCAAGAAAAGCATTTGTGTTAGTAAAGGAATTCAAAGAATGACCCATTTGAAATGGAGTCTTAGGCCAGATAATTCTTTATAAACATTTACATTTAAAATTATCAAGTTCAAAATCTAAGATTACGTTGGCAAAATCTTTAAAACTATGTAAGAGAAAAGACAGAAAGGTCACTCATAATGACCATTTGTAGCCACACAGATCTTTATGGACCAGTAAAAGTGGAACATCTCTCATAGATATATCAAACAGACAGTGACTTTACCTAAAATCATATGATTTCTGCATTTTGAAACATTTATGCTTGGTATTTCTAATCTATATGTTAGTCAAGCTATGTAATTTTATTATGACTTAATATTATCTCAAGTAATAGCTTGTCAATTAATTTATGTTCTGCATATTAAAATGTTTGCAACTTTAGAGATACAAAATATATTACATACCTGTTGGAAAATTTGGACCACTTCTTTGCAATACCCAAATATACTTGATAAAAAAACTAAAATCATACAAGTTTGTATTAGATATGAATCCTAAAACAAAAAAGGATAAGACATATAGTTATGAGGAATATAAAACACTTTAACATTTCTATAATTTTCACTATTTTCTTTTTTTTAAAAATATATATTTTATTGTGTTTTAGGTTTTGGGGTACATGTGAAGAACATGCAAGATTGTTGCATAGGTACATACATGGCAATGCGGTTTGCTGCTTTCCTCCCCATCACCTATATCTGGCATTTCTCCCCCTGTTATCCCTCCCCACCTCCCTCCCCCCCGCTGACCTTCCCCTAGTTCCCCCCTACAGACCCCAGTGTGTGATGCTCCCCTCCCTGTGTTCTTTTTTTAAAAATTTCTATATACTGTCCACTTTGACTTAAACAGAAAATTTAACTGACGCCAGTACTCATATCATTTACTAGAAGTGAACACACCCTTATTTCAGAATGTCCCTGTTAAGTGAAGTTGAAAATTTGCTAATTGAATTTAAAAAGAATATGAATCTGTAGACCTATATAAAATTGTTTATTGTGGCAAAATACATGTAACATAAAACTTACATTTTAAAAGTCTTATATTTTACATGTGCATTTAAATTTTAAAATATATAATTCAGTGGCATTAAGTATATTCACAGTATTATACCACCATCACCATTATCTAGTTCCATAACTTTTTCATCATCTTGGATGGAAACCATATATCCACAAAGCATCTCACCTCACTTCCCATGTCCCACAGTCCCTGGCAACCACAAATCTGCCTTCTTGGACACGTATTTTAAAATTTTACACCTCAGTATTTAAGCTAGCATCTAACACATGTCAATTCCTTTTAAATTAGTTTACAAATTTATTAGTTGACCTGTTTGTTTACATGTCCTCTCCTTCCACAAAGGACTTTAGGAGAAATTAGTATCATATATGAATTCTTACAGACTATTTATAATAAAGTCCTGATATGTCTGATTTATTATAAGTTTAGTAGTCTTAAGAAGAAACACATTTTTATAATCCTTTGTTTTTAAAAAGTTAAAATGTGAAATTACCCTGGTATCCAGTATTTCTGAATGATCACTAGTTTCATTGATGATTCCAGTTGAGTTGAAAGCCATTCCTGGTTTTATATTGATAACGAGAAAGGTCATAGGTATGAGGCCAAGACAATAAGATCCTAAATTGATCATATGGGCTCTAAATCCATAAGCCATCCTACAAAAATTTAAGCAAACCAGAACTGAGTCATTTTAAGCAAAAATATTTATATAAGACACCTGGGGGAAAAGTGGTTATAATCCCTTTCAGAAATCTCATTGGTAAATTCACTGAAGCTTAGAATGAAGTAAATCTTCTAATTCACCTTTTTCATTTTCAGAGAACTAATCTCAGGTTCTAAGCAAATTATGACTTAACAAACTAATGAAAGAGCTGATATGTTAACCCATATAATCTGACAGCAATATGAGTGCTCTTTTTAGAACACACCTCATTCTTCATTGTCAACTAAATTTCAGGGTCTAGGATATTTCTACATGTCCTATATAATGATTCCTTTCCATGCCCCAACTATTTCATTTAACGTTAAAGATAAATTGTAGGCTCTAAAGAGCTTCTTCATGTCTTCTATGATAATTCCCTCCCACCCTCCAAATATTTCATTTAATGATAATGCCAGAAGTTTTAATACCAATATTTGCCTTACTTATTTTTTCAAAGTAAAAAACATCAAAATAACAAAACCTAAAACATTAAAATATAATTGTTTGGAAGACTTTTTAATAGATCCAATAGGCATAGCATTAAAAAAGAAATACTATTCAATACCCACCATTTCATGAGTAAATATTCTTTACACACAGGGTGATTGAGAAGCTCTATGCGGTTATTTTGTACCATTGCCTGAGAAATAAAAATAATAAAAAACAATCATAATTCACTACTGAGTATAAAATAATCTTTTTATTGTCTGGTTTTAGAACTTTGTTTTGATATTGCAATAGTAACACTTATTTTAGAACATTTGAAAAAATAAAAATTAGATCAACATTTTAAAAAAACAAATTAGAGAGAATCATTTTGTACAAGTACAATTGTTTGATTCAGTCTGTCTCTTTAGATCTCTGACTTCTTGACCTAGCATAAGCTTTTTAATCTAATACAGGGTTACAACAGGAAAGGATATTAAAGATAAATTAGCAGGAGTTACATCTTCATTCTGTCTTTGAAGAAATTCAGCCTTATCTGTCTAGAAGGATTTTATGCAGTAGAATACACATATATAGCTGTTAAATTGAATTAATCTAGATCATAAGTTTTCATTAGAGTTATCTGTGACTAGTATTTACTTAAAAATTAGTTTTTAATTATTCAAGAAATACATAAATAGAGGGACTGATGCCCACAAGGTAGCAAAATATAAAGTCCCAGGTCCCCCTTCCTCCATACAGACATGGAATTAAAAACAATACACAGACCATTTCCTTCGTGAGCAAGCAATCTAGAACCTAGTTAAGGGGTTCCTGCACCCAAGGTGAGCATGTAGCCAAAAAGAACCATATCAAAGACAATAGGAAAATTCATGGCCTTTACTTGCCACAGCTCCTCCCTCTGGCAAATCACATTGGGAGAAAACTCCCAAATCCTGCCTTCTCCCTGGAAAGAGAAAGAAAAGAGTGGAACATATCCATTGACTTCTGACTTCTAAGGGGCTGTCCAATGGAATGATTTTTATCTTGCCTGAATATAAGCTCTGACACTAATGGGTGCCAGAAAGGGGTCACTGATAACAAAGTAGATCAGTGGGACTTAGTCTAGCACCAGAGAAGATACCGTGTCACCGACAGATGCTAGGCAGTGTCCCAGTATCACGACTTGCTACAGCACCAGAGATATAGGGGAAAAGAGACAAAAAAGCAACCACATACTAAAAGCAATTAACAAAATGGCAATAGTAAGTTGTTTCCTGTCAGTAATTATTTTAAAGATAAAGTGGTAAACTCTCCTATTAAAATACAAAGATTGAATGACTGGATGAAACACAGGATTCAACTATATGCTGTCTACAAGAGACTCACTTTAGATATAAGAACACAGGCTGAAAGTAAATGGATGGAAGAAAATACTCTATGCAAATGAGAGCCTGAAGTGAAAAGAGACGGCCATACTTACATCACACAAAATAGACTTTAGGACAAAAACAGTGACAAGAAACAAAGAAGGACAATATGTAATGATAACAAGGTCAACTCACCAGGAAGATACGACAATCATAAATATATACACACATCATATTAGAGCCCCCAAAACTATGGGGCAAACTTAGATAGAACTGAAGGCAGAAATAAACAGCAACACAATAATAGTAGGAGACTTTACTACCTGACTTTCAGTTACGGATGGAACAACCAAACAGAAGATCAACATGGAAACAGGAGACTTGACACCAGCATAGATCACTTTACCTAACAGACATATACAGAATAGTTCATCCTCTGACACAACAGAAGAATAAACATTCTTCTCAAGCACACATAGAACATTCTCTAAGATACACCACCACATATTAGGCCACAAAGCTAGTATTTAAATATTTCAAAAGATTAAAATCATATAAAATATCTTCCTCACTACAGTGGAATAAAACTAGAAATCAAAAGCAGAAGGAAAATAGGAAAATCAAGAAACATATGGAAGCTTAACAACTCACTCTTAAATAGCAAATAGGTCAAAGAAAAAATAAAAGAGAAATTTAGAGAATATCTGGAGAAAAATGAATACTAACATAATATACCAAAATGCATGGGGTTCAGCTAAAGCAGTACTAAGAGGCAAGTTTATGATGGTAAACACCTAGGTTGTAAAAGAAGAAAGATCTCAAATCTATAATTCCTTAAATCTCAAGGAAATAAAGAACTAAACCTAAGATTAGCAAAATGTAGAAATTAATAAAGATTAGAGCAGAGATAAATGAAAGAGAGAATAGAAAAACAACATAAAAAAATCAATGAAACCAAGAGTTGGTTTTTTGAAAAGATAAACAAAATTAACAAAATTTTATTAGACTCAATAAGGGAAAAAGAGAGAATGATACCAACAGGACAGGCAGCTAAAGCAAAAATGGACAAATAGGACTATACACAGTTAAAAATTTCTACAAGGCAAAGGAAGCAATGACCAAGGTGAAAAGGCAACCTATGGAATGGTAGTAAATATTTGCAAATTACATATCTTATAAGAAGTTAATATCCAGAATGCATAAGGAACTCCTACAATTCAACAAGACAATAAATAACCCAATTTACAAATGGGTCAAGGCTACAAATAGGCATTTCTCCAAAGAAAACATGAATGGTCAGTAAGCACTACTGCTTATGACTATTGAATGAGAAGATTCTCAACATCATTCATTATTAGGGAATGCAGTTTAACACCACAATGAGATACCACTTCACATCCATTAGGATGGCCACTATCAAAAGAACAGAAAACAACGAGTATTGGTGAGCATGCTGAGAAACTGGAATTCTTGTGCCCTACTGGTGGGAATGTAAAATGAGACAGCCATGATAGAAAACAGTATTGCGGTTCCTCAAAAAATTAAAAATAGAATCGCCACACGATCCAGCAAGCCTATTTCTAAATGTGTATCTGAAGAGTTTAAAGCAGGATCTTGAAGAGATATTTGTATACCCGTGTTTGCTATAGCATTATTCACAATAGTCAGAAAGGGAAGGCAACCCAAATGTCCTCAACAGACACAGATAAGGAAAATGTGGTATATACATACAATGAAATACTATTCAGCCTTAGAAAAGAAGGAAGTCTTAATGCTGTAACATGAATGAACCTTGAGGAGATTACAGTAATTGAAATAAGCCAGTCACAAAAGTACAAATACTGTAAGATTACACTTATATGAAGGACCTAAGGCGGAGAAAACTCATAGAAACAAAAAGTAGAAGTGTGGTTGCCAAGGGCTGGGAGAAAGATGAGGGGAAGTTAGTGTTTAATAAGTACAGAGTTTCACTTTGCAACATGAAAGAATTCTAGACATCTCTTGAGTAACAATGTGAAAACACTTACCACTACTGAACTATACATTTGAAAACAGTTAAGACAGTAATTTTAACTTTATGCTTTTAGCACAAGTTGGAGAAAAAAAAAGAAATACCCAAATAAATTCTTCCTTAAATTACTGAAAAATTGGAATAGGCTGTAGTTGTCACCACATCTAAGCCTCAGTTCTGGGCAGAACTCCATTTCATCAGTAGTGTCACCATTGCTAATTTGTGCGTCTTTCCAAATCATTTTCTATATTTCTATACATAAACATCCATTTTCAAAAACTCACATGTAGTTATGGAGAAAAAGGATAATTATTTTGTATTTATGTTCTTACTCAAATTATGTCTTCAATTTGCTTATTCAACCTAGAAACATATCAAGGTTATATAAAGATTCATCAAGAAGATTATTTTTAAATACTGCTTAATATTCCATTATTTGGATATAGTAGTTTATAGAGACCTTCCCTTATTGATAAATACTACTATTGTTTCACATTTTATAATTAAAAATGATGCAGCCAAGATGATCTTCTTAGCCCTTGGGGAAGTATATTTTTTAATTTGATGACATATATTTCATTTCTAGAAAATTCTTAGACATTATCTTTAATTTTCCTTCTCTCTGTTTTTAAAAATGTCCATCTTTCTAGATAACTTTTAGATAGAAGTTGGAATTTCTAGTTTTAGCTTCCTTGTATTAACTTTGTACTTCCCAAAATTATTCTATCAAACAACTTCTAGTTTTTGCATTAAACACCCACCTACATTTTGAAAAACCTTACACTGTAGTTTTTAGTTTTTATCAGCATTGCATTAGATTTCCTCAATCTTAGTGTTCATAAAAATCTTTTCAAAGGCCTTTTTTCTTTTCCTTTTCTTTTTTTTTTTTTTTGAGATGGAGTCTCACTCTGTCGCCAGGCTGGAGTGCAGCGGTATGATCTCAGTTCACTGCAACCTCCGACTCCCTGGTTCAAGTGATTCTCCTGCCTCAGCCTCCCGAGGAGCTGGGATTACAAGCATGAGCCAGCACACCCAGCTAATTTTTGTATTTTTAGTAGAGATGGAGTTTCACTGTGTTGGCCAGGATGGTCTCGATCTCTCCTGACCTTGTGATCTGCCTGTCTTGGCCTCCCAAAGTGCTGGGATTACAGGAGTGAGCCACCGCACCCAGCCTTCAGAAGCTTATTTAAAATTTTTGATTATTAGGTCTACCCTCAAGAATTCTTGGTTAGTAGGGCTAAGATGGGCCTTAGGAAACTTTGTTTTAACAAGAACCACAATAATTCTGATTCAACCAGCCAGAGATTGCAGTTTAAAAACTACCACTGTGACAATAACAATGGAATATTTCCAGGTTAACCTTTTTTTTTTAAATTTATTTTTACCCCAACCATTTGAAAAGTAATTGAGATATATTTGTGCACAATATTCTGGGGGAACTAAAGAACTCCTTGTTGCAAATATTCATTATCAGTTGGATGCCCAGTGGAGCCCATAAAGCTACATATCTAGCTATTCTGGGGGTGGGGAGGAAACCTGGCAGGATCTAACTATTGTTTTTGAAACCTCATCTAAATTTCCATGCATAACTGACTTTTTTTCCATTGAAAATTAATGGTTTCTTCAAGCTAAAATAAAAAATATGGAAAAATATTTGTGAGAGTAATTCAAAATGTTACTATTAATTGTATTTTAAAATACCATACTAGAGACACATACAGAAATTTGTTTTTCATCTGTCTTCATTAAAACAATCCTCTTATGTTTCTGAAATCTTGCAACTCTGTTTTTAAACTAATAATACAGCAAACTTACCCCTTGAGGCAGGCTAGTACATTGTAAGTTTAAAAATCTCCCAAATAAAGTATAAATAAGACTTTACATTTTCTGCAGTAGCTCTACTCTTGCATGCACCATTAATGAATTAGCTTCTCACTGGCTCCAGTTTGTCTTAATCTCAGCATCTGATTTCTTATGTTCTCTGTTTGGTCCATGTAGGCTTTCAAATTTTCTGTGCACAATAATTTCTCATCAGGCCAGCTGCCTTCTTGAAGAGCCCCACTCAACTCATTTATAAATAACTAAAGCAAGGTTTCCTAAGCTATTAAGGCATCATAGAATCACATGCTGGTTTTTTACCTAGTGCATTGCATTATCTAAGTGAACCTATTTTATTTAAGTTATACTTTGCCCATTGTATATTGTCTATTTCTTTTTATATGCTACATAGATCTTATTTCCTCCTATTCTTATTCTGATAATAGAAACAAAAATAGATACGTTTTCTTTCTAATTGAAGTATTATCTATATTTTTAAATTATAATTTAAAAACATACATATGCAACAAATTTTCTAAGTATAACTATAGCGTAGTTACTGTTAGATCACTGGGTTATCGATTAAGAACTATACTAATAGCAAAATATACTCAAGGAGAGCTGAAGTGCTTACAGCAAAGGTAAGTCAGTTGCCATCACCAGTGTTTAGAGCATAAAATCCCCATGAGTCTGCATTCTTTATGCTCCAAGTACTCAGTAAGACTTGTAGGTTTAACTTTGGGTGATGGGTGCTGCCATGGTCTGTACCAAAGGCTTCAATGTAGGGAAATGAATTCATTGAAAGTGAATGAAAATTCTTCATTGAACTAGAGCAGTGTTGTGCAATAGAACTTTCCACAATGATGAAAATGTCTTCTACATGTGCAGTGTAATATGAGAGCTGTAAGCCAGATAGGCTACTGAGCACTTAAAATGTGGCCAGTGTGACTGAAAAATAAATTTTTAACTTTATTTAATTTTAACTACTTTTTAATTTAGGAAGCCACATGTGACTACTGCCTCCCATATTAGGTACCACAAATCTAGACCAAAATTTGCAAATCCAGTCCTTAAATATGTTTTGTTTTGCATGGACACAATTTTAATTTGTTGCCAGTATTTACACAAGTGTGGGCTGCTATTGCCACCTGGCAATGATTTGTTGAACTAGTAGTCACTGTCCTTTTAACCAGAAGCCTAAGTTACTCATCTGTTACTATTTTCTCTGTTGTTATTTCAGTTTGAGACCTTTGATTTAGGCTGAAAGGGATCAAAAGCATGATTTTCATTGCTTCATTGACTAGAAATGTAAAAGCATCTTTTAAATAATAGCTTTTTTAAAAAAAGTTTCTTGAGAAACTCAAGTTAATGTTGTGTGTTCAAAGCCTACTTCAAATTGGGTCATTCCTCTGGAACCTAAGATCTAAGAACCTCTGAATGGTCAGCGTTTACTTGGATCCCAGCAGCTGGCTGAAATTAGAAGCTGTGGCTAAGAAATATCACCCCTTGCATTTTCCTGTGGTTTACACTGGAGAAAACTCTTGAATATGTAGGTGGATAGAGGTGGCAAGTGTTACCTGTGTTGTCCATGGTTTATTTTATTCTGTATTGGAGCAGGCCTTAAGTGACCATTAGAAATGAAGTGTAGAACTTTATAGCAATTGAAAAAAAAAAAAAGATTGCTTTCTTTATTAAAAAATAGAAGGTTAAGTCACATGGCAGACATAGACATAGAACTATAAAACTGGAATTCTCTCCATCCATCAAGTATTGAAACGTTTTAGACTACTGTATTTAAACATTTTAGAACCAAGCTAGAAACTACCTAGATAATGAAAACATTGAACTTACATTGAGGGCTGTAAGAGGTTCATAAGTAATATCCTGTGTAGGTGTTGTTTTTCTGGTGAATTCTAATGGGCATTGAAGATATTTAAAATTATACTCGATCTGTAGAAGATATATATATATATATTTAAAAGTACAGTTAGTCAAGTATAGAACCCCAAAAATCATTCTTGAAAAATCGAATACACAAGTTTACAATTCTGCTGAAAATTAAGTGATTTGAACAAAGTTGAGTTATATCAAGTGGAGAAAAGAAATTAAGTTATTGAATATTCTTTCTAAAAATAAATATCCTGAAAGACTGTTATTTAATTGCTTTATATCTCATAGGCATGGAAAGAGAGTAAGTCTCAAAAGATCATTTAGATCTCTTAGATCTTCATTATTAAGGAAGAACTACCCAGGGAAATATAAAGACTAGAAATAACACTAAATGATGCCATTAGAAACTATTAAAATATTAGGGAAAACTGAGGAGAAAATGGAAAAATTCTCTCACAGGTAGATAATATAATAACATGATAAATGAGACCAATACTTACAGTAGATTACAGATCAATAGTAACAATATTTTTAATATTTTTCAAAGAATTATAACAGAACAAATTTCAAATTATGATGATAAAATGAACTTACATAGTAGTCTCTGCAGGACTTGTCCTCTGTGGAAGGCAACATGCAGAAATCTAAAAGTACCTTTGAAACAGAAAAACTAGCTAAGATACTGGGCAGTAACTAGATATTAGGAAGGATTTTACCCTATTTCTAAAATAACAAACAAGACGCATTTCCTTTCGTTGGCTTCTTGCATCTCAAGAATAAATTATAATATATGTCATTCAGAAACAAAGTTTAAAATACAAAATGTTACAAATACTTCTGCATGCCCCAGAAATACCAAGTGATACAGACAAATACACGTGCTTGAGAATAAAATTGCATGTACTAAAATCTGGGCAAGAGCTATTCTACTAATTGTGCCACATATTGCCACAAGTGGAAAATTCTACACATAAGTACTTAATAATACAAACTTTGTTTTATGTACAAATATTATTACAAATTTAATATAAAAATTACTACAAATATTACATAAAATTACCTTCAGGCTATGCTTTTAAGGAGCATATGAAACACAAATGAATTTTGTATCTACCCTTGTATCCCATCCTTATGACACCTCTCTCTCTCTCTATACACACACACACACACACACACACACACACACACACACACACGCACACGTGTATGTGTGTGTGTGTGTGTGTGTGTGTGTGTATGCAAATATTCTGAAATCCAAAACACTTCTGATCCCAAGTAGTTGGGGTAAAGCATAGTCAATCTAATTCCTTTGTTCAGTAACTTACAGTGACAACTTATTTTTCCTAATCGAGAGGTTTCATCCTAACAATGGAGTCTTTTATGGTTTAAGTTCTATCTTCCGAATTTCCCCAGTCTGCAGTAATGTGCTTGCTTCCATACCTCATTTGCTAAGCAACAGGGAGAGAGAGTGTGTTTAGAGAGGGGTGCACAGGATAGTGGGGGATCGATGTTGTAATCAGAAATAGATGAAGACCCTCTAGATACTTAACTCAGGGAAAGAACACTTATGGGGTCATTAGAGCCACCCCTATGGTGTGTGGGAACAAATGTTTTTGTGGAGCTGCATAAACAATTCGAGACACCCCAAATCCAGTGGTCCAAATTTATGATCCTGAGAAAGAAATACCACTTAGCCAGGCTGCTCTCTTGGAACCAGGACTGGACACAATACCCCTTATAGCCCCATCAATGCATCTAGGACCTCCTGGGGTATCTGGTGAACCCCCACATGCATAACTTGAGGGTAGAGGGTCAAACTATATCCAGAAGGGAATAAACAGGGCCCTGGCTGGTCTCAGGTTTCAAAGGGACTAAGAAAACTACAAGGAAGGCTCTGTTTGTGGCTGGATGGCAGTACTGGGGGCCACAAAAAGCATCATGAAAAATAAAGACAAGACTATAGTAGTACTGTGCAAGGTAGAAACAGGCAGGTCTGGTTTTTATGGTTTGAAAACTTTGTAGTAATCAACGTAAGCAAAATAAAGGATGGGCTGCCTTGGGTGAGGGCTGCAGAGATTTCAAGAGGAACTTTTCAGAAGTGCTCTGTAAGTGATTCAAATGCACTATGTCAGGCTAAATTAAAACATGTAAGTTCACTTATTTTGTTGAAAAGTAGTCACAATATGAAAATAATAAAGTCATTATAGACAATTATCTAGAAAATATAGTCATATAAGGAAGAAATTAAAAACTAATCCTAATTCCATAACAGATACTTCTTATTAACATTTTGGTATAATTTCAACTGTTTATGTTTCCAACATTGTTTTACAGTTAGAAATACTGTTGTAGGAAACATTCTATAAAAATATGTATCTCCGGGGCCGGGCGCGGTGGCTCAAGCCTGTAATCCCAGCACTTTGGGAGGCCGAGGCGGGTGGATCATGAGGTCAAGAGATCAAGACCATCCTGGTCAACATGGTGAAACCCCGTCTCTACTAAAAATACAAAAAATTAGCTGGGCATGGTGGCGCGTGCCTGTAGTCCCAGCTGCTCAGGAGGCTGAGGCAGGAGAATTGCCTGAACCCAGGAGGCGGAGGTTGCGGTGAGCCGAGATCGCGCCATTGCACTCCAGCCTGGGTAACAAGAGCGAAACTCCGTCTCAAAAAAAAAAAAAAAAATATGTATCTCCGATTGTTCATTAAGACAAATTTTAACAACTGTAATTACAGAATAAGAAAGTTTGAGATTGTTCATGTGTCCTTTGATGCACGTAGGCACTTAAAAGTTACTCCGTAGGCCATTTGTGTACTAGTCTGGCTCCAATCTTCATTAGGTATCATAAAGAAAAAATGCCCAAAATATTTAGTGCACAATAAGTCTTTGTTCAACAAATAAAAACAATAAGTGCCAGTAGTACTTAAGCACATAAGCAGTATAAAATCAGTAGGTGGTATATTATGTATGAACCATTATCCTTAGAACTTCATATATTTTACCCCCGTTTTTGTAATCACTTTGTAAGATCAGTATCAGCATCATTATTTTAGAAATAAAGAAAATGGAAAATAACGCTCAAAGAAGTAAAATGACTTGCCTAAAACAACAGAGCAAAAGGCAGCATGAGGATTAAATCCCAGGACCTCCAAAAGGTGCCAAATCTGGTCTTCTATTCCCTGTGTCACTATATGTTACTGCCTCCTGGTATATCTGACTTTCCTCCTTAAGGAAAGCAGGAAAGCATCCTGATTTCAAATATTAGCAATTCATGCAAATTTGAAACAACAATAGCATGCATGCCAAGCAAAACTTATATGAAGATTTTATTCAGCCAGCAAACACCAGTTCCTAGTCTCTGTTATAGGTGCAGATTGTTTAAATAAAAAATTTATCATATTATTCTGTATTACATATGATAACTAGTAGGATTCTTTAATCCAAGAACGCCTTCCTTAAATAGTTATCATCTAACTTCCCTTATAGTCTATGGAAAATGAGAAGCTTTATGTAAAGACGGAAACTATTATTATTATTATTATTAGGTTGTGATTACAACAATAAATCCTCATATCATATATGCCAAGCATAAACCCAGGAAGAATTTTGCTTTAGAGAGTTTACCTTCATGCATTCAGGGAGGTATTCTATCATTTCCGTAATTGGGCATTTATTGCCTGGAGAATTATGACTAAAAACCTTAAGACATTCATCCCATCTGTAAAAAATAAATAAGTAAGATAAGCACAGGTCATCCTTCTGTTCTGTACAACAGCTAAAACTCAAGATTATTTCTTTAGGAGACACCTAAACTTAAGCTTATTCATGAACTGCAATGCTTACCCTTGGTTTCAATGGAACCAACATGTAAATCAAGATCAACCCAGTAAAATGGATTCTTGTCCATTATTGGACATTAGGAATGTGGGCAAATTTCAGGATGGCTGTTATAATCATTGTTCTGTCTCTTTATCTAAATGCCATTCAAAGAAGCTGGGACTATATCTTCTTTTTCTCCTGAAGTCATGAAATGGTAAGTACTTATAGAGGTGACCACATTGGGTAGAGATTCCACATTCACATACCTACACCATCAGTGTAAATACTGGGCCCAAATTTAATAACTAATACATGTGTACATGGTGTATTGAGTTAAACTACAAATTAACACCTGTAAAGTGCATTGACACACATAGCCTCTGCCAGAACATTCCAATTTTGCACATTTTCTTCATCACCATCCAATCGAACAGGGTAAGAAGGTGCTTACCATACCAAAGAGGAACTAAATCTATGGCAGGAGGCAAAGAAGATCCCATTCACCTTCTAGATCCTATCTAATTTTCTGTTACACTCTATCAATAAAGTCCATCTAGTATATCTACATTATCAAAAGAAAAGTTTGGGTTGAACACTTTCATTGAAATGTGCTTTCAAGGGATGATCAGTAGGAGATGTTTTTAGACTGCTCATGCTCAAAAACACAGACTTGATCTGCCTTGAATATAAGATTGTTCACTCTGTGTCCACAACTAGGTGACACTGGGCCCTTGTGCATATCTATCTGTGATTATTATAGAAAGTAATATTATAAAGTTATTATGAGAAACAAGACAAACTATCCTCTAACTTCATCATTAAAATTCCTTGGAGTATGGTTTAGAAACCATAAAGATTACGTGTTAAGAGACATCCCATTATAGGACACTGATAACTACCTGGATTTACCTTGGGGAATATTTTGACCAGCATCCAGTTTTAGGGTTTCTATTGGCATGTGTCAGGCAAGTTCAGGGAGGGCAGTGCAAAGTTTGCTTGACAATGACATGGTTCCAGACACTACACACGCCTGAACCCCTGGAGTCTGACAAGAGTACTGTGAAGCTTGGTTTTATGTACTCATATTTTATTTTTTTAAGAAATATAAACTGGGCTGGGCAAGGTAGCTCATGCCTGCAATCCCAGCATTTTGGGAGGCCGAGGCAAATGGATAACCTCAGGTCAGGAGTTTGAGACCAGCCTGACCAATATGGTGAAACCTCATCTAAAAAAAAGTAAAGAAAAGAAATATAAACTGAAGATCAGAGAGTTTATTTTTTATAAATAAAAAAAATTTATTTATAAATTTAGGTCGACATTTAAAAATAAATAAAGGACCGTAATTAGATTGTTTGTAATACAAAGGATAAATGCTTGAGGGGATAGACACCATTCTCCATGATGTAATTATTATGCATTTCATGCCTGCATCAAAACATCTCATGTACCTGATAAATATACACACCTACTATTTGCCCACACTAATTAAAAATAAAAAGGACCAGGCACAGTGGCTCATGTCTGTAATGCCAGCACTTTGGGAGGCTGAGGTGGGAAAATAACATGAGCTCAGGAGTTCAAGACCAGCCTGACTAACCTGGGGAAACCCCATCTCAACTAAAAATACAAAAATTAGCTGGGCATGGTGGCTCAGCTACTTGGGAGGCTGAGACATGAGAATTGCTGAAGCCCGGGAGGCGGAGGTTGCAGTGAGCAGAGATCACACCACTGCACTCCAGCCTGCACACGACAGAGCTAGACCTTGTCTCAAAAAAAAAGGTAAAAATAAAAACTTTTTGAAAAGTGATGTGAACAACTGATATTTTAAATTTTGATTAATGACTGAAACTCATTTCTTTTCTTTTCTTTACTCTCTGACTTAGAATCATCCCCGACACCAGAGAACACTTAATGACAGTGGGCAGGAAGACAGCGTACCTTTTGCTCCTGATGGTCGTAAGAACCACCTCCTTCCTCTTATTGTGAAGTGCAAGGTGCAAAAAGGAGGCCTGCTGCTTGTTCAGGACTATGTCAGCATTGTGGCTCAGAAGAAGGGCAACAGCTTTGGCGTGGCCTTCCCTTGCAGCAAAGTGAAGTGCAGTGTTCTTTTGAAGAAAAACAGACACAGAAGATGTGGTGACAATGCCTAATCTGCCTTATTTCACTGCTAAACTGCTTAAAAGATCTTAGCAACATTAACTATTTAATACCAAAATATGTAGCATTTAAAACTGGTGTTCAGAATCAAGCTTAAAAATAATGAGTTTATAGTGAGTGTGCATGTGTGGGAAGTGTGTGTGTGTGTGTATGACAGAGAGAGAGAGGAGAGAGAGAGAGAGAGAGAGAGAGAGAGAGAGAGAGAGAGAGAGAGAGAGAGAGAATATGAATGAATTCCAAGGCATTTGTTTTGTGTTGTTTTTGCAATGGGATGATTCGACAAGGACAAAAGGCAAGCTTTTCAGGGTAAAGATGTTGGGTTGAACACAGAAGAAAATACTGAGACTGATCATCTGGAGAGCAGTGGCTTATAGATTTGGGGTTTCCTAAGCTTGTAAAAGTTTTTAAAAATCACAGACTGTTAGAAGTTTGCCAGTTTTTAGTTTCCCCACATAAAGACTTTTTTTATGAAAAGGCAACAAGAATCTTCTATCTCCATCATTTTATGAACAAATATATATTTCAATACTTTTTCCCAAAGAAGGAAGGACATAGTTGCACAATAAAGGGCAGCATTTCAAATCAATATACTTCAAAGCAACACTTATTTTAATGAAAACTCACTCATGCCTTCATTTATCTGGGCCTAACAGAGAGTAAAACTTGACCATCAACTCACAATGGCCTGTGGACCAGCCTCTGTGAGACTAGGGGTTTCCTCAACATTCATTCACCCCTTGGTATTCTCCCATTTCTGTTGCCTTTTGACTCATACTTCACCTTAAGAGTCCACGTGCTAAACACCCAACAAAAAAGGTACAAGGAAGGTAAAAGGTGTCTAGGAGGGTTTTCTGGCAATATTGGAATTTTCTGCTATGTCGAAATTTTGGGTAAGCGTGGGGACCACAGTACGTACCCCGTCGTCATCCAGGCGATCTGTACACTTCAAATTAGTATCAAGAATGACCTTCATGGTCTGAGTGTACCCACCCACGGATGCATGATGCAAGGCCGTCCAGCCATTGTGGTCACTGGTAAAGAGTTAAGAAAAGATGTGTGCATATACTTAACAGATGACAAGTGGGATGGAATGCCACTTGGTTCATTCTAGGTAAATGTGATGACAACAAAACACACAACTGAGATCTGGCAACTAAATATTTATAAAACATTTGTGATGAATGAGCTAATTTCAAGCTCAGTGATCTTAAATAACCTATTTCTAATGTGATTCACACTATTTTTTATTTAGTGGTTTAAAATATGAAAGTATATAAACAGATTATCAAACGCTTTGGGGTAGAAGTACACTTAGCGTGTCTGTGTCAAACATAATTTTTTCAAAGCCATAATGAACGTATATCCATCAATTTAAATCTTGTTTTACTCTTTCATTGAACATTGTATCAAAAAAACCTTTATGAAGCGGTGAAGTGGTGTTAGTCTTTATGGTCAACAGTTACTGGTAATAATACCAATAATATAGTACATGGCTATAAGATACTTAGCTTAGTTTCACTTACTATTCTAAGAGTTCAAGTCTGAAAAACTTTCCTCTTGTGCTCTGAAAGATGCTTACCCAATTGCTTCTGAAAAGGTTTATCCTTTTTACAGAAATTCAAGATGTAAAGACAGGGAAGACTTGTCATATTAGTTATCCTTTTTTTTTTGAATTAGAAAAAAATTCCCTACACATTTAATTTCAGTGCTAGTGAGCAGATGTTTCAGGGTGCAAGAGCCATGTTGCTATTTCAGTTATGATGGAATTAAGCAACAACTGTCTGATCTGGGTCTAGTGGGTGTCCTTTGCAGGTCAGTTGCTTGGTGTTTCCTCGTACACCAGAAGAAATTGAGGAAACATTCGTTTTTGCAGCTATAGCACCAATTTTGCTGGCATTAATAATCTGGTAAGGATACGTGTTTTTGAACATTAGCCTACTAAGTTCTTTGATACTGCTGTGGTAAAATACCAAATGAAAAACCACTATAAAATGTTTTCAGAATTTTCTTTTTTACCACAGTATCATTTAATTATGCCATATATTTTATTATGCTTCCATATTTTAATTTGGTTTTGTTTCTTGTGCTTGAGTTCATTTAAGTATAATGAAATTCAGAAATGTTTTACTATCTCCTGTTGTCACTTAAAGGGAGATTTTTATGGCTGCCATTCATCAGATTGAATGAAAAGTACGGTATTTGAATTTATATGTTTTGTGTGGTGTGTGTACATGTACACACACACATACACAACCATAGCTTTGTATCTACACAGGAAGATGGCAGTATGATGAGGTAAAATATGAGGAACTGTAGTTCAAAGGTTCTGAGAAAGAGTCTACACAAAGCCACTTATTCTGTGATCTTGAACAAACTTCACCTCTATAAACTTCAAAGTCTTTGTCAGCTGGAAAAAGTACTGACTTCTCTTTCAGTATCTTTAGAACTTATATGTGTTTTGATGATAAAATAAAATGGACAAAAGTACTTAGTGAGATGTAAAGTTAGAAAATATAATTAAAAATATAATGAAAAGATAGCCTGAAAATAGCAAATTAAAGAGACTATATAAACACTCCAATCATATATCCTCACCTGAGAAACAATGCACCCTTTTTCAGAAGAAGCTGAACTACTTTTTCATGTCCATTCTTTGCTGCCAGATGGAGAGGAGTCATTCCATGAAGGTCCCCTTCATTTAGAAGCCTCGTGTCAGTTATGTCTTGTAGGAGCCTCTGACAGGTATTGATACGCCCATAACTTGGAAAAAATTAGGTTTCAGATTTTCAAGGCAAATATTAAAGAGAAAGAAGACATGTTCATACATTGCTAGACTGACTCCTACCTGGCTGCAAAATGCAGAGGTGATTTTTTATCTTTGCTTTTGGAATGAATGGACACATTAAAGCCAAGCAGGTTATTTACAGAACCAGGGCCCCCCTGTCTACATGCATAATGTAGAGGGGTACACCCATCGTTGTCTTCATCCATTACCAGCTCTTTGATGTGTTGCATCTATAGAAAAAAATAATGTTATACAAATAACTCTGCTATTATTATGCTAATTTGATGGTTTTCAAACTATTCTGTAGGAAAATATTTTTCAACAAGGTACAATGAGTATTTCTTGGAGACAAAAACAAAAAATCTAAAGGATTCTAGAGTAAAATAAATTTGAATGAAGTTGAATGCTCTGTCTCCATGTAATCTACATTACCATATTAAAGGATCTGAGAGATCCTGCAAGTAGGAAAATGTACTTAACATTTTTAACTCAACATTGTTTCAAACATGTTTGATCATGGCTTCCCTCTGCCCTTCCTCTCATTTCCTCCCACCCCCAGATAACACCCAACAGCTTCATGTTAATATGTAAAACAAATGGAATGTTAGCATTAGGTTTACTTTATCTTTTATATGTATAGTAAATAAAAAATGAATGATAAATGAGCATCCTCAGCCTATCAATTAACATTCTGCTTTTTAAATGTTCAGATACATACATATTTTTGATTCTTTATTAAAGAATGTGACAATATTGAAATTTATTTATGATAAAAACGTGATATATTTCATATGAACATGATAGTCATTCAGTAAGTATTAGCTGGTGAATATAAATACAAAAACAATGCTTTCAACCTCTCCTCAGCAAACCAAGTATGCTGAGTAATTTTTCTGAATTGATAGTGGAGTATTCACAATTCATTCTCATACTTGGGATTTCCACCGATATGTAAATCATAATGGTCAAAGAATGAAGAAAATCAAACTAATTAAGGATGTATCTTTAGCATAGATGATTGTATATGAAATCCCTTTGTAAGATAAAAAACTCAATCTCAGTACAATTATCATCATCATCATCATCACCACCACCATCGCTGTGTTGTACCTAAATATTCAAATATGTCATCTTTATTTTAAAACATTTTTAAAATTCCAGAATCAGTTTACATAATGACAAAAATTATAATAAACAAAATTAGTTTATTTCCTGTTGAACCCAACTCAGTTAATGGAAATCCATAGATATGCATTACCTGCATAAATTCAGGTTGCAGATTTTTTAATCCATGAGGGTGCTGTACAGTTAAATGCAGAAAATTACGTCCAAAATTATCTTTTATATTTACTTGGGCACCTAAAAAAAATCACTATGTAAATATAAATTCTATTCAATTATTTAAAGCATTGTTTATGTGGATTTTCAACTTACCAAAAAATTTTGGCTTAAAACATTGTTGACCTTAAGTTTACAGGAAATCATGGTTAGATGAGAAATTAAACATATTTAAAAATGGGTTTACCTTACTCTGTGTCTGTGTGTGTCAGCGATATAGAAAATATATGATACATTACATTAGTACATTAGGACTTACTTTTTAAAGCATAAAATATAAACACAGACACATTAAAGAAAGAAGAGGACAGCAGAGAAGAACACCTCACTTCTTTCTTATCAGAGGCCCAGGTTAGCATCTAAAACGGGGATAGTTATAGTACCTACATCACATAGGACTGATACATTGAAAGAAGGTTGATTAAAAATGTTCAGCAAATGCCTGGGGCATAGCAATTGCTTTATAAATGTTATCTACTGTTGTTCTGAAATTATCTTTTCAAAAATTTCTCCCTTACTGGACTAAAAATTATTCTAGACATGGAAAGTGTTCTGCTTATCTTTGTATTCACAGCACCTGGCCCAGGGCCTGGCACACAATAGATGGTGGCAGACAATGAATGTTTATTTGGTACACAATGAATGTTCATCTAACCAAATGAGTAGTACTTCCAAAGACCTCTTAGTACCTTTAGAGAGAAGCAAATTTACAATATTCCAAGATGCAGAAGCAGTTGCTAATATAAGTGGAGAGCGTCCTTCAGAATCGATGCTATTAATATCTGCTCCCTAAAAATCAAACAAGTCATTCAACAAAGAGTTTAGAAACAGGTAATTCAGCATATATTGAAATCTCTAAATAATGGTAATTCATTGATATAGAGCGTCTGTATTATGGCTAGCACCAATGCACATGGCTAATTATAGGATGGTTTGAAATTTTTCCATAATTCACATGTTGTATCAACAGAAATCAAGGACTTCTTTTATAATTTCAAAAAGAAATTATTATCATATATTAGGCTTTTTACGGACACCTGGTAATAGCTCTAGTTACTACCTGAATCATAAAAATAATATCCTTTTACTTAGATCAATTGTTTAGTTTCCACTGTAAGAAATAATTTTTAAATGTCTACAATTTTAAAAGGTTTCCAAATTCACTGCACATATGATTTAAGAAACAGTCACAAAAAACTATTTGCTTGTTTTACAAATCCTATTTTATCTGAAATAGATGAACTGAAATAATTGAATTGAAATCACTCAAATCCTAAAGTAAAATTTTAACCAAACATTATTTAAGAAAATTTATATTTAAAAATCACATTAAATATATGTTTTTTAAAATGAATAAGTCAATGTTAACCATTATGTATTATAATATTTGATATGACAAAAAATCAAAGGCCTTTTAAAATTTCATGGAAATAATTCTATATTTTAGATAGGGTGATAAAAGTAGCTTAAATTCTAAATGTCAATATTTCTTTGTTCTTTTGGGGGATCATTGAACATAGATGACAATGGGAACAGCATCCCCTGGCCAGCTTCATGGTGGTCGGTGAGGCTCTGCCACAGTTCTCTTGTCTGGTGAAGAGATGCAGCCTTTGCATAAACCATGCATGACCTATGGTTTATGGTTTATGGCATATAATGCATAGTTTATGGAATATAATGAGTCTCCCCAGTGTTCATCTGTGTAACTATCATAATTTAAACAGTTATCATTGACAATACACACATGTTCCATACTAAAAATGGAAATCCATCATTGCTGATATAGTGTGGCTTAAATAAATTCACCAAATGTTCATCCGTGTAAAGGGCTTATTAAAATTCAACTCAAAGCTGACTGATTCCACTTCCCAGAGTGAAAAAGATCTCATGCTTCATACTTTCACTTATAATAAATCTTTGACAACTCCTCAGTTTTTAAAGTCGGCACTGAGGTAGCTGGGATAGGAGCTTCCCCAGTGCTGCCTGTCCTGCCTCCATCTTAAGCCACCAGGGCTGAAGAAGGGTCACCGCCCAAGCCCACTCCCCCAGAGGATCCTGTTACAGGCCATGGGAACAGCTTTCCTTACAATGTACCTGCAAATTTTCTGCTCTAAAACCACTGATATGGATATCCAAAAGTATGCTTTGACACTCTGACTTCACAGTAATGTTTGGCCGTTAGGTATTCATATACAATATACTCCACTTCCAAGTGTGTCAATCATCTTTTTGTACACTGTTTTTGCTAATGAGCAAGAAATTAAAATTTGATTCATTTTTGAAAATCCATATTATGTAATTATATGATTTCTTCAACTATAAATAGTAATAAAAATAAACCAGTAAACGGAATAGTTACCACTGAAATTAAATAGTCTGCTAGTTCATGGTGATCAAATAATGAAGCTCTGAAAAAAAACACAAAATTATAAATATTATAATTAAAGTACTATTGATGTCAATATAAATGTATTTAATAAAGCTACTATATTCAAAAAGTGAATTTAACCAATCATAGCGTAACATGATAGAATGTTAGAGAATTAGTAAGCTTTTAAAATTTGTAATTTGATTCTGATTAGGGTAGCATTTTCAAAGTAAGAATAATAGGGAAACACCAAATACATCACAATATTTTCTTCCTCATCCTTTAGTAAACCTATTTTCTCCTATAAAATCACCATGAAGATGTTACGCAGTGGGTAGTAACATTTGTCCCAAGATAGGAAAGACAAGGGAATCGCTGGTATTGCTATCATCATGGGGAATAGCAACAGCTACATGTAAGGTGTGCCTCAAATTCATCTGCAGTGTTCAAAACCTCCTCTTTGAGGGACTCCTCTTTGGCAAAAGTTAAAAGGCAGTGTTGGCTTTTCTGAATTTTTCTGAAGCCAAAAAAAATTATGGAAAGAATTGAAACATTTTGGTATCATCTCACCGGCAGTCATAAGGATAACGTTAATCACAAAGCAAGTAAAATTTTCAATCTGTATTAAAGCACCACCATAACAAATGTCCATGCTAATGATTTAAAGCTTTGTGTTTCCCATCACAAATCTCATTTCTTTTCTTCAAGGTTGTCTCAGCTATTCGTGGCCTTTTATACATAAATTTCAGAATCGGTTTGCTAATTTTCGCCCCAAATTGACCAGAGGTTGCATTATATTTAAAATACATTAATTATATTTAGTAATTTTAGGGAATAAATTCTAACATTAAGGCCCCATTCTCCTAAAACAATTTCTTGTTATGCATATTAATATATTAAGACTGTGTTCTAAAGATACATTTTAATAATAATCAAATCATTGGGTTTATAAATTGGTGACACATTGGAATCAATTTTTTTCTTTAACTCCTGAGACTCATCCCAAAGATTTTGATATTCTAGGTTATAAATTGGCACTGGGATTTTATGAGCTGCCCACATGATTCTAACATGCAACAGTTTGAGAATCTCTGGTCTAGAGGCTAGTCTACCTACTGAGTTTTCATTTTATTTTAATGACTCCTTTTTAACTTCTTTTTTACCGAATCATTTTTGTATCACCAATACTGGATTCATATATGACAATCTGTTTTTCACAGTCTTATGTTATCTTCATATATTTAGTTTTACATAACTGATTATTCCTTCCTTTAAATTTTAAGGTCTTAAATATCTTTATTTCAAAATTCTTTTTGGAATGCCCTATTATTTCTATTTTCTTGGAAATAAGTTGGCCTTTTGTTAACCTCATAGTTTTTTATTACTTTTATGCTATAAAATTTTACTTTGCAAATTCATCCTAAGTGGGAGTTCCATTCTATTCAAACATATCCTATTGTGCCTTGCGGTTTTGCTAGTGTGTGCATTTATTAGAAATAGATCTTGTATTGGTAGCTAGAGTTTCTTTTTTTCTAAGAGATATTGTAGATTTCCAGGTCTGGTTGCTTATGAAAAATATATCGGCAGCTCTGACTCTGTGTGTGTGTGTGTGTGTGTGTGTGTGTAAGAGACCGAGAGAGTGAAGGCTCACCCTCAGACACCTCTTTCACTCACATGGGTAGCATCTGGTACTCGTCTTTCCACAAGAATTGAATTTCCAGGCTACACTGCTTGTTTTCTGTCCCAGAACCTAGTAAGCCTATTTTTTAATACACTTTGCCTGATGTATATTTCTGTTAAACTTCAAATCAATTGGTTATTGTTTTGGCAACTTGGTTATAATTTCCTGAAACTATATCCTTTGAAACCATTTATCTATAATTTGGGGATTAGCAGAAGGATTAGCATGGGAAAGGTGAAATAAAGATATGTATCTGCTCCATTTTTGTCACTAAAAATGGGGATAAAATAAATATGAGGAATTGGAACAGATTAGAAATGGCTTGGAAGACCTTGTATGTAGACATCTTTAGCATATACAAAATTAATCTTGAGCCTATATCCACTGGATTTGAATCAGAAAACACCCCAGGTGACTTTATTCTATGAAATTTCTTTAACATTCTATTCTCATTCCGAAGGAACATACGAGATTCCAGTTGATCCACAGGGTCTTTGTTATCTTTGCTTATTCTTTTGAACCACAAAATCTTTCCTAGCATTAGTGTTAATGGCTTCTTGCAATGTCTAATTTAACACATGAAGACAAAAAGTCTGTATACAGAATGACAGGTAGGAAACTTGCCTGTGAAGCATGGTCTCACCACTTCCATTGGTTGTATTAACAATATCCATGCCACCAGAACAGGACGATATCATCAATTTAACAATCTCAGTGGCTCCCTGGGTGGCAGCAAAATGAAGGGCTGTGCACCTCCCCTTCTGTAAAGGGTTTTAATACCAGAATCAATGTTTAAATCTCAATGTAAGAACATGATTTATATTGAGCTGTGAGCTTTTTCTTCCCAGGTTCATAAAATCAAGGAGTATCAATCAAACTGATCACCATTGATCATCTGAAATATGACAGATACTTCTTGATTTCATGGACCTGCAGAGACAAGCATCCATATCCAAATTGTAGCTGACAATTGAGCTTCCTCCTAATATAACAACTCTTGGCATATACTTCCTCCATCTTTGTCTGGGTGCCATTCTTTCCCCCAGGAACATGAGAACAGTGTCTCATTCATTGCTGTAAGTACTCAGTATATGAAGTGACTTCAGACTCCATACCACCCAAGGCAGCTCTTCATTTCCATATTGAAGGGACTTAGGATCAGTGTCCAGAAGCCACATGAGATTAATAACCAATCTTCTCTTCCTCCAGAAAACACAGGCATTTGCAGTATCCTGGAGGGGAGCTTGTTGCCACCCAGAACTCAGACATTGAAGGAAAAAGGGCCAAAACTCTCAACTTTTGGTAAGAGAAGCATGGCATAAGGTCAGATCCCAAACACAGTCAACACTTTTACATACCTATTCTTAGAAATTAGTTAAGTGATCCTTAGTTTAAAAATGATAGCTCTTCTGAGTAGAACTAAAACCAAATACATTCATAGTTGGGCTTTAATGTTCCTGGCTGAACGTTATCATCTTCTGAGGGTAGGCTTTAACTGATTTAATGGCAATGGCACTAGATATATATTCTTTATTCTGTCTGTATTTGTGTCTGCAATTGTGTTGGGAGCTCTCAAAATTCTTTACATAGATTGAAACTTGGGGTATTTCCTTGTTCTGCTTCTTTATAAGCAGAAGGAAATAATATTTCTTCATGTATTTCAATCTAAATTAACTGTGAAAGAGCTGTAAAGCATTTTATATGGTTATGACAATTCTAAGATAAAAGTGTCATAGAGAATATGAAGACTTACCTCCACTAGGTCTATTTGTGCACCATTGTCCAGGCACATTTTGATCATTTCCAAGTCACCATTTTGCACAGCCAGGTGGAGAGCACTGGCTTTCCCATTATTTACGAAGTTGATGTGCAACTGTCTATTGTACCCATGCTCTTCACCTTTAGAAGGAAATAACATTCAACATAACAAATATATAAAATGAACAATAGGGAGGTTTTTTATTAGAAAAAAAAAGAAAGGGCACTGAGATACATAAAAGCTTGTATTTAATTCTGTTAAATATTTTTCAAATTAGCCTGGGTGTGGGGGCTCACGCCTGTAATCTCAGTACTATAGGAGGCAGTGGTAGGTGGATCATGAGGTCAGGAGATTGAGATCATTCTGGCTAACACAATGAAACCTCATCTCTACTAAAAATACAAAAAAATAGCCAGCATGGTAGCACATGCCTATAGTTTTAGCTACTCAGGAGGCTGAGGCAGGAGAATCACTTGAACCCAGGAGGCAGTGGTTGCAGTAAGCTGAGATTGCACCACTGCACTCCAGCCTGGGCAACAGAGCAAGACTCTGTCTGAAAAAAAAATTTCAAATGAATAGCATCCACCAGAATAGACTTATTTCTAGTATATAACTTGGAAAAGCCTCTACTCACCAAACCTTAATAGTATTTCCATGCATTCTTTGGAACCTGAAAATACAGCCTGGTGAATAGGAAAACATCCCCATTTATTTGATTTACATGGCTTAGCTCCTTTGGTAAGCTGGAAGAATAGAATGAAAAATGACACCAGTTAAACCCCAAATCACAAGGGTGGATGAGAATTTACTTGCCTCTCCCATATCATTTTACTATTGTATGTCTATGTAAAAGTACATAGAGAGTTTCATATGTGATAAAATCTAGGCAAGGAGGTAATTTTGAAGTAGGCTAAGATTCTGAAATACAGACATTTTATATCTTCCAAAGAAGTAACATGTAAACACAACAATATCAATCTTGATACCCCAGCAAATAAAGTCAACACATTTTTTCAATGGGATTGAGGAGATTTTTAAAGACACTATCATTACTTCTATAACCATTTTCAGTTTCTGATGCAAATAAAGGGATAATATTTCTCAGATTATTTCCCTTTATTTATGCAAAATTAATAAATGAATGTGCCACTACTCTTATTAAACCATGATAATCAAATATTTTCACTAATGAAGGTTCTTAACTAAAAAGATGTTAGAAGAACTGAATGTTATTTACCTTTTTATCTGATCCAATCATTTTAAACTACCATTTTCTATAATTCATTAGCCTTCAGTTTTAAATATATCTAATTACTATAAAAAATTATTTTGAAAAAGTAGAGGCCGGGTGCGGTGGCTCACGGCTAAAATCCCAGCGCTTTGGGAGGTGAAGGCAGGTAGATCGATCACGAGGTCGAGAGATCGAGAACATCCTGGTCAACATGGTGAAACCCCGTCTCTACTAAAAATACAAAAATTAGCTGGGCATGGTGGCGCAGCCTGTAGCCCCAGCTATTCAGGAGGCTGAGGCAGGAGAATTGCTTGAACCCAGGAGGCGGAGGTTGCGGTGAGCCGAGATCACACCATTGCACTCCAGCCTGGGTAACGAGCGAAAACTCCATCTCAAAAAAAAAGAAAAAGTAGAGAAGTGTAAAGCAGCCAATACTACCTGTAATCTCAGCTTTTAGAGATAGTATCAGTTTACTTTATATATAATCGTGCATAAATTATATATAGAGAGAGTCCAGAAAATGAAAATATACTTTATAAAATCATATTATTTAAGAATATTAAGTAAAAGCTTTTTTGAACAATGTTGTCATACAGTATATACATAAATTAAATTTGCAAGGAAACCAGACTTTAAAAAATATTGTTTTCTATAGTATTTTCAACAATACTATTTCTTTACTCCAATTTTCTTTGGTTAATTTAAATTTGGTTAATTTTCCTAAATTCTTGGTTTGAGTGTTCATTAATTTATTTGTATTCTCTTTGTCATTTATTCTCTTTGTGGTCCAATCATGACAGCTTAAAGGATGTACCTGTCTCTAAGTCCATCTAGTAAAGGTGCGAAAACATATTTGTATGGTACATTAAACATCAGGCAAATATTTTTAAATTATTTCTTACTCTCTGGGATGCTGAAGACCCTGGCTTGCATAACATGCAAGTGATTAAGGGATACTTGAAAAAAGGCTGTTTGCTGGGATTCTAACAGCACACTCAGATAGAACACTGCCAGAAGCAGGAGGAAGTCATGTAGACAGGCATCTCCATCGCCTCACTGGACCATGCCAGGAAGCCTCACCAGAGACAAGGCTGGCTCTACTCTCAGGCATGCAGCTAAGAACCTTTGTCATTGTATCACGCAGGGCTCTGTTTTTGAGAACATATGGCAATAATTTCTTCAAGTCTTGGGAGCTGTGTTTCCTTTACCTTTTCTCTTGTGGGCCCAATAAGTCTGCAACTGACTATATTCATCTTTCCTTTGACTATTCAGAAGCTTAGAATCATATGTCCAATCCATCTTTATAACTTCCAGGCCATGTACTTTGTATTTTACTTTCTATCTTGACCACCAGCTTCATCTCAATTTTTCCTGGCTATATTTTCTTTTCACTTTGATTTTCTCATGATTTTCTTTATTGCTTTACTATTAATCTTCTATAAGCAATCTCAGATCCACTTACGGGGCAACTGCATACACAAAAACACACAGAACAACTTTTGTCTGACCCACTTTTTATATTTTACATTTTTCTAGGGAGAAAAAAGCTTTTGTAAACAATAATAATTCATACTGTGTTCATGAAAAGATTAAGAAAGCAGAAAGATATGACTAATATACAAACCAAAATCTGCAGTGCTTCACTATTATTTTTGATGCATGCAATTATCACAGCTGTGTTTCCATTTTCTCCTTCCAAATTAATGTCAATACTTCTATGCTCAAGCAAGACCTACACAAAAAGGGAAAATAATTATCAAAATTTTTGCAGATTTCCAAATAAGGTACTTGTCGTCTTCTACTAGATTTTAAGTTCTCAACTGACAGAGACCATGTCTGTTTATCTTTTATTCATCCTTCTCTCACACAACCTGGCACAAAATCTTGCACATTGTGGGTACTAATTAATTTCTCCATTAGATGAAATAATCATGATTTCAATGTTACAATAATTCAGGCAATACTGATTCTGGAATTGTAAATAAAATAAGAATGATAGATACTAGTTATCATAGTTTTACTTAATACTTCTGACTTGTATTAAGTAGAATTATGTTAACTAATAGTTTCAGGAAAATGAATTTGTGGAGCCGTTTAGAATATGTTCATGATGGAAGGGGAAGAGAGGTAGAGAAGAAGGTAGAAAGTAAAAGAGAAAGAAAGAGGAGAAAGAAAGGCAAAGGGGGATTTTATTTCCTTCTAGTTATTTTTCTTTTACCTGGATTACAAGAATCTTGGGAAATGTCAGTGGAAACTCTATTCTCTTCAATAAAGAAAAGTTTTGTATATGGCGTCAATCATTTAATTCACATTTGTTCTGGAATGAAAACGTTCTCTACAGTGTAAGAAATTAGCATCCTGAAAACATGGTCAAGTAATTTTTTGATGGAATTTCACTGAAGACCTGTTACCTCCTCACCTGGTTGACTGCCGAATGATTATTTCCCAAGAGTCTACAGATTTTTGACTAGTCTTTCTTTTATATTTAATGTAACAAAATTATCTCATATAAATGTCTTATCAAATCTTTGAATTGGACTCCTAGAGGCTTTTCTACTTGCAGAAAGACTATGATAAATGATGACATATCCTTATAATTAAATAATGTTAAAAGAATGTATTAAATAATCTGTTTCTTAAAAACCTTGACTTCTTTAAAAAAATAAGTATACAACGTCCTACCCAAACATCTTGATAACAAAACATGCCCTATGTGAGTGTCAGCAAATGAATAAGGTTTACTAATTAGCTGTGCTGGTAAAAGAAAATTAAATTCGGATTTTAGCACATAAGAATATGTGGAGAAATGATTGACGGATTAAGGCAAATGAGAACATAAGATTCCTTCTGTGGAATTTAGGCACCATCACATTGTGTTTTTAGGAATCTCTAGATTCACATGAAAAATAACCTACCAAAGTCTACATGAAGGTATTTTTCTCTCTTTGTCCTCTTAGAATCATAGATCATAAATTTGTAGCATTTACTGGGCTGTTATTATTATACCACCAAAAGCATAATCTGTGAAAAAGTTGTGTTAAATTATATGTGGCAGGGATCCCAGAGAGAGCAACTAAACTGTACACCTACTTCACATTCAGTCATGACCAGGCAAGTCGGGAAGGTTCAGAGGTGAGCTCTCCGCAGGCCCCTTTGATAAGAATCCGGAAAGTGTCATGGAAGGGTGAAACAACTGAATACTTTGAAGCGAAGCCCAAAGGACTAGGGCCTGCAGGCCACTGAGAAACAAAACCACCTCCTAATCCCCAGGCCAAGGTGTCCCAGGGAATATTATGCCGTAATAATATCTCATAGGTTATTTGTGCAAGCACTTGAAGTGATGTACAGATGACAATTTTCTTTTAACTTTACAACCATTATAGGCAGTGGGGGAAAAGTTTGGGGGAAGTCTAGTGGAGCAGTCAATGGAGCGGCTTCTAAACTGATAGGGGCTGGGTGGGTACAGGCCGGACCACGGACATAACTGGGAGGGGCAGGTGGAGAGAACTGCTGTTTGCAAGCATGGAGGGAGATACTCCAAAACACCTTCTCTTCCTTCTATTCCTGTCATTTCCGCTGAGGCAGAGTAGTCTGAAAATAGTTCACAGTTGTGGCTGGTAAGACCAAACAAGAGAGAGTGCATTTTACTTAGAACTCTACTTTTCTGCTTGTTCTGGTGTCACCAGGAAAATTTGTTTTATGTCCACCACCAAGTTTATGAATCAGTTGGGATCTCTGTTTTCTATTTCTACGTGATACCTACCTTTCTGTATTTGTTGATCTGGAGATTTCTGCTTTCTAATTAACAATAGGCTTTCAACAGTTACCTGCCTTCAAATTCCAAACCACACTTTCAGAGCCATTATTAATTAAGTTAATAGGCATTTGTTCTTGAAAAGATCCTTCTGAGGGAGCACAGAGCTCCATGAAGAAATATGTGACATCTCTGGGAAAATTCCCTGTAGTCATTAGTGGCCCAACCCAGATGATACAGAAACAGCACTAGGATCATGAATAATGCAGATTAAAAAAAACAAAACAAAACAAAACAAAAAACCAGCTTGTTGCCAGAGGACTTTCTAGTAACCTCTTCAGGGATCCACCCTGACTTATCTCATAGGTATTGAGACTTCAGCTCTCCTCTTCTCAGACAGAACTCCCATGGACTCATTCATTCATATACATATTCATTCACTCATTCAATCGCCATCAGTTAACAGCACAGTGCTGAGGAATAGGAGATATTTGAATTAGTAAGACACAGCTCCTCCCTCAAGCATAATTAGCCAGTGTGGAAGAAAAGCACATAAACATTTGATTCCAATACCACCTCTTAAGAATTTTAATACGGTCACATATAAGGTACAGTAGGAAAGCAGAAAGTGGTTCCTCTCACACCTTTTATGCCAGACTTAAAGGAGCCAAGGTCTTAGAGGGCTGAGAGAAAGGTTTTGGGTTAAAGAGCGCCTGAAACTCAAGGCGCTCCTTGGATATTGTTTCTACCAGAAAGCTGACTATAAGTTCCAAACAGCCTACCTTATAAATGAACTTCTAGAACATGATCCCTTTGTAAATTAGATTCTTCATTCTTTAAGCATGTTTGTATTCTAGCGTGTTTGAGAGACTCTGAGATATAGTTTAAAAATCATGGCCTAATTCTTACCATTAAGCAATTTTCCAGGGTTTCCTCTACTTCACCAAACTTACTCTTATACTTTGAAAACCAATAAGATGTTTCCCAGTGGTATCCTTATGTCTTCTGCTAGCTAATCTTTCTGACAGGCCACCTATTCTAACAAAAACATCGAATTATAATTATGTTTTCTGTTTTCACTGAGTATCTCATTACTTTCTTCCTTTTAGTCATTAAATCAGTCAGTTAAAAGTGATAAAGCCTGATCTTCATGAAAACATGAAGATCAAAACAAAATTCCTTAGTCTTGCATTTTTACTTGTGATGTGACATTAGGCAAGTTATGCAAATTCTTTTGGCACCTTAGTGTACTCAGCTAGGAAATGAGAATACTAGTAGAATTACTTCATTGTGGGTTTGCTTAGATGAGAATTTAATAAACAAACACACACAAACCTCTTACAAAAATGCTTGGTAAATAAGAACTATTCAATAAAGGCAGAACTAATCATCATCATCATCATTAGTTGATGAGAAGTAAAGCAAATGTAATAATTGCATTTTGTTTTCCCTAGAAGCTTAGAAGGTGCTCCTCCTGGCACAGGCAGAAAGAGCCGGATTTGGGTCCCAGGTCCAATGGGCGCTGCCAGTCAGGCCCACTGGAGCCAGCCAGTAGCCTTACCTTCATCACCTCGTTGTGCATGCCCTGCACAGCTATGTGGAGGGGTGCCATCATGTTGAAGTTTCGGAGGTTTGGGTTTGCTCCTCTGCTGAGAAGAAACTTAACACTTTCAATTTGGTTTTCTTCTACAGCACAGTGCAGAGGGGTATTTCCATAATCATCCATTGCATTCAGCACTAGAAAAAGAAACCAAAGTATGGATTAAATTTTGCTTACACCTCTTGAGTGCCAATCCACCTCAAAACTCAGTGCCAAGTGCAACTGATATCAGCTGCACCTTCTTTATGGAAACTAAAAACACAGCTTTGGTTCTAATGAAATATTTAAGGGGTACCTAGTGGGAACATATAGAAGCATGGCACTGACATTATCAATTGAGTTAAATTTCTATTGGTAGCATTAATAAGAAATAGATCCTCCTATTGCTATATGTTTTTATCTATATGAGTTTGGGATTGTGATAAAATATTGGGATTATATAAAAGCAATAACTATGTCCCAGGCACTCTGCTAAGTTTGCATGACCATTATTTCAGTCAAGCCTCCAACAGCCTGCAAGGTACCACCATGACAAATTTCCAGAAGGAGTAAGATGTTGAGGTCCAGAGAGGTTAAAAGTCTTGCCAACATCACAGAGCTAGTAAGAAGTATGAAAGTTACCATACCTCTCTGAACCTCAGCTTCCTTGTATTCAAACTTGGTAAAAAAGAAAAAAATTTAAAAACCATATATTCATATACCTGCACAGAGAGAGAGAGAGAGAAAGAGAAATACATATATGGAGAGAGACCTTGCAATGCTGCGATGTTCTGGGACAATAATATTAAAACATGTCTTTAAGGATCACAGCAGAGTGCCTGGCCTGTAGCAATGGTTTAAAAAATGTTAATGAGAAAAAAAGATACACCACAAATAAAACACAAGACTAGAATTTGAGCTTGAGCCCCTGATGCCATATGTGGTTTCCACGTATTTCTACAATACTACTGTATTTACCCTGTAAAGACAATAGTATTTACATGGCACTATTTACCCTGTGAGCTCAGCATATAAGTAATATGTCCTTTCAACCTGCAAAGCCATATAGCTATTCTAAAATAGACATGGCTGTCTGCTTTATCAGCTTTGTAAATTAGTGGCAGCATATCTTTATGCCAGGAAAGGAAAAAAAATTTGCTCATAAATATGATTTGGGGAACATCTATGATACTTGGAACCATATAGCCATGTTTTCTGTTTCCTTTTTAAAATGTGTCTCTCTACTATTTCCTTTCATTCATCGAAGTGCTTCATTCTAAACAACACACACACATGCATGTACACACACGCATATATGCACACACACACATCCCTTGACCGTTCTATCTGATCAAGAAGAATCGCTCCATTCATCATTTATTCCATTTGGCACCAAACTTAAACAGGGCTCTATACTTAAAAACTCCCGTTCACTAATTAAGCAACTTGAATTTGGCTTTTATCTTCACCACATTTCAGAAATCAGTTTCACAGAGGTCACTGGGGCCTTCTAATGCAGGGGCTTTATTATGATCTCCTTCCTACTTGATCTCTTTGTGGCAAGTTTCTTCTATCCCAGTAACTTTGCCCATGGCTTGTGTATTTTCACTCTCTTCATCTTTTTATGGCTTTTCCTCTGCCATCTGTCTCTTAATGTTGGCATTCTACTCTTATCTACTGTTGCTAGCAATTTTGTGATCCCCTAAAGGATTTTCACACATTTCCAGTGTCTCAGCGACTTCCTATGCAATCATGTGCCAGTAGGGCGGCCTCGTTCCTTCCACATTTCTGTTGCTGGCTATTTCCAAGTGGATGTCCCCTGGGCCTTTCAAACTCACTGTGACCAAAGCTCACATCTTCACACTCACCTCTTTTCTGTTTTCTCATATTCCTCCTTTTGGGGGATGATTATATTATTAATTTCAAAGTCAGTACCAACTCCCCGCTCTTTTCTCTTCCCATTTACTCTGCTGTCACCCACTGTTGACTTTACATGCCATTATCTCTGGAAACTCTCCCTGTCTCCTTATGGTAGTCTCACAACCTGCTGAGCTCTTATCCTCTCCTTATTACCAAAATAGCTTTTTAGCTGGGCTTCCACTTCTAATCCACCTTCCACAATATTGACAGAATTATCTTAGGTAGCAAAGGTCTTATCACACCACCCACTGCCTCCACCTCTGTGGCATCTACCTTCCTCATTGTCTGCACTTGAATTTCTTAAACAAGGTACAGTGGACAAGGCTGGCATCTGGAAAACATCACTGAGGAAGGATGGTACACCTTCTTGAAGTGTCAATTTTACTTAAGTGATAACAACTTAAATATAATCTCAGTGGAAATAGGATAAAAGAGTACATTAAATGTATATGCATTTTTACAGTCTATGTAAAAATTCAAATAAAGTCTGTGCTTGTTGTGGGGTGTCCTAGATCTCTGCAATATTCTTTGCAGTATTTCAGTAGAAGTTGAGGAGTGCTGGTGTGTAGGAAAACCCACACTTCTAAGTGAAATACACAGGCTCTTTATAATTGGCACTAATTACCCTCAAGAATCAATCCATTCCATTCTTCCCAGTGAATTGAATGAGATGAATGATTTCTGGAAGATATTTTGTTACCTTCAAAAGAGGAATCTCTGGTGATCTTCTCCATTAGCTCAACTTGGCCTTCTGCTGCAGCGTAATGCAAAGAGATGTCCTCATTGTCACATCTGTTTAATGTCTTTTGATGCTTCAAGTTTTGTAATCCACATGCACTTCCTTCAAAAACCACCTGGAGGTATTTAAACACCATTATATCAAACAAGTATTTGCAAAACTTATGGATATAAAGTTAACTATTTTATAGCTTGAAAGAACTTTTTATTATCACAAACTATCAGGCTTATAATGAGGTAAATATTTTTCTTGAAATACACAAAATGTTTACAGACACAAAGAAGGTATGAGAAAATGCCCCAAGATTGATCAGAATATAAAACAAATTTTTTTAATTTTTTGATCATGATCATAAATTCATATATGCTTAGATATAAAGGCCTTTCTTCCTTTTTGCAGAGGAAATGCAGAAATCTTCCCCAAACAAATGATTCAGATACTTGCTTTAATTCTACCATTGACCATAACTATTTACATATGTCACATGGTAACATGTCAAAACTCCAGTTTGTTATTTTAAGGATAACTAGAGCATTTCTCACTACTGAAAGGAATTATCAGTTAAAATGAAGTATTAAAGTATTTAGTGTATCTTAATACAACTAAGAATTTAGAATATTAGAATTTATTCAGCAAATGTCACATTGGAATAATAAAACTTAATTTCTTAAATTTTTGAACTTTGGCTTTTGTTTCTGTTATTACAGAATAGTACCTAACAAGTCACTCCTCTATGGTAGTCTCTTAAATTGAGATGTATTACTTTTTAACTAAAAAAAAAAAAAAAAAAAAAGAATTCCACATAAGCTACATATAACTTTAGTGACTACAGGATATGACGATGAGCATCCAACCACTTCCAAATTTACACATACTAGTTACAAATTTAAAATAGGGTTCTTGCAGAAGTAGGGTCTTTTTCCATGTCTCATCCTTTCAAAGAAAGTGTTGATCTAAATCTATTTGGAACCATTCTGGCACTTGAATTTGATACACTCTCTGGGTAAGAAAGGGATTATGCTGCCCACTCCCTAGTGCCAGAATGAGCAGCTTGGGAGATCTGTTCAGCAATGTGCTGTCAACAATAACCCAATTACACACTCTTTAGAGGAAGTACTAGGTTCAGATGCTCACAAGGTACTACTGAATTCCCGGAGAAGGAATTCGCCACTCCTGCCTCCGTTTTCCTGGGAATATTTTCTGCAAAGCTTTTTGTGCAGACAATTGGTGTCTCTGTTTCACTCTGTTAGACCAGAAGACTTCTCAACCCCCAAAACTTAAATAGTTATCCAACAGCTATCAGATACAGTCATTCGGCTATTTGGTTCTAAACAAAATCTACAAAATGCCCCAAGTGAAACGGCACAGAGGCCAAATTGTCCTGTTCCAGGCAGCTGCCCGATCTTGTGCCAAGTGATAAAGATACTTTTGAAGTAGGTTTCCCTGGACGGCAGTTGCCCATCTAGGAGCAAGAATAGATTGGACCAACGAGCAAACAAAATAGATAAAGCAGGCGCTGTGCCGGCGCGTCCTTAGCGGGGTCTCCTCTTGGATCGTGCACACGCCCCAAAGCTTGCACCACCCCCCCACCCCCCGCCACTCCACGCTTCCTCCAAACCAAGGGCTGCCCGCAAGGAAACCTCGAGCCGACCCCCACCCGCCCCGAGGTGAGAACCCGTCCCGACCCCCGAGCGCCCAGGGTACCTTCAGCGATTCCTTGCAGTCGTCCGTGTCGTCCGGCACATCCTCATAGAGCACGCCCTGGGGCTCCTTCTTTTCTCCAGGGCGCCACATCTTCTTCAGGCTGCGCTTCATTGACACCACCTCGGACGCCACCTGGTGCAGCTGCTCCCCACGCGCGCTGGCACCTGGGGCGAGAGGGCGCCGTCAGACCGCCGGGCGCGGAGGCCGCTCTAGCCCGAGCAGTCCCGCGCTGCAGCCCCCAGGCAGCGAGACACTCCCTCTGGCGGAGCGCGGGGGAACTTCTGGAAGGAGGTCTCAGCCCGCGCTCCTTATAGTGCAGCGCGCAGGCGCGGCGCGGAGAGGAGCGGGAAACGCAGACCTCCTTCGCAAAGAGGGCGGCGGCGCCTCTGCCCGGAACTCGCCGCTTCAGGGACGAAGTGACCCGCGCGTCCCGCGGCCCTGCAGCTGCAGCAGCGCACTCCCCGAGTCACGCGCGTCAGGTCAGAGAGTAGAAGGGAATGACTGGGTACATCGGAAATATTTTTAGTTTTCAGAATTTTTTCCTAAAATCCTGTGGACCTTTCTTTCCCACCACGTGCACCTCCTTCTTTGATTTGGAAATAAGGCTTTTAGCAAAACTTCTCATTCCAAACATTTGGGAGAATAGCTAAATCCTAGCACTGGTTTGAGGGACTAGATTAACTTCCTGTGAATCTCAGGTCCCATTTCCTGTGGATAATAATATGGATCCCCCTCACGCTTTGGTGGTTACGGATGGTTAATAAAAAGTCAGGTTAGGCCAGGCGCGGTGGCTCTCGCCTGTAATCCCAGCACTTTGGGAGGCTGAGGTGGGCGGATCACGAGGTCAGGAGATCAAGACCATCCTGGCTAACACCGTGAAACCCCATCGCTACTAAAAATACAAAAAATTAGCCAGGAGTGGCACCCGCCTGTAACGCCAGGTACTCTGGAGTCTGAGGCAGGAGAATCTCTTGAACCCGGGAAGTTGAGGTTGTAGTGAGCCCAGATCGCGCCACTGTACTCCAGCCATGGGCAACAGGGCGATACTGTCTCAAAAAAAAATAAGGTTAAACGTAAGCCACCGCCAACTGGTGTTTGATTGCCCCCAGCTTTGTCTGAGAGACTTATAATTATAGGCCTGCTCTTCATTAAGTGTCAATTGTGTAGAATAAAAGGTGTTCTCTCTCAATCAGAGGCTGATTCTACGTTTAGGTACAGACAATGGAGCCTCTGAAACTGTTGACGGTATGTTCCAATTTACAAGGCTAGAAAGGAAGAAACCTTCTTTCCAAGGCTGTTTATACTTTGCACGGGACGGAACATAGCTTTGACAGTCTTTTGCTTTGACAGACTGTGCTCCCTAAAGGCCCTGGATTGTCATATTCACCTGCTCATCTCCAGCACCTAACACAAGACCCTGGTGGATCCAGGACCTGGCATAGAGGTGTACTCAGTAATGGTCTGTGGACTGTTTAACCTAGGGGCTACGGTGGGCTGAGCTTGGGTGTAGGCAGAGTGGGCATGATGATGTTGAGGAACCATGAAAGGTCCCCACAAATCTTCCACTGGATATGGCAGGTTGCCATCAATTCTACCCCTGGGGTGGAATTCCTTGAAAGGACAATATTGAACTTATCACATCATGAGTCCATGAGTATGTTTGCTGAAGGATACAGGTGTTCACCTTCACTCTTGCACGCTTTTCCCTCCAGCATCTGTGTTCAGGGAGTGCAAGATAAGAATCAGTTGAACAGCTTGCTATGATTTAGTTGAAGGAGATAATGCATTTGGACAAACCAGTGAAGAAAGAATCCAAAGGATAAGTAAAAAGAAAAATTCTCATTGAGCCATTGCTGTCTACCTGACACTTTCCTTATACCAGGTTAATGTTTTAAAATGGAAATGCCTCATAAGAATATTAAGACTTTTTATTTATTATCATTGATTATTTTGATTGATTGCTTTTCTCATAACACTTCGGTGGAAAGGGTCACTAAGGCAAAAAGAGAATAAAGAGGAGCTTCAAATGGTCATTTTGGAAGCTGGGGCAGTGGGCATGTCATGGCAACAAGCATCAGATGGCCCTGTTTGCTCTGAGAGACAGGGGGAGACCAGGGGTGGAGGCCCCTCTTCTCCCCCCCCCCCCCCCCCCGCCCCTGCCACCCCTTCAGGGAACTCCAGCAATGGATGGTTTAGGGGAATGCTGGGAGAAGGGTGGCTCCAGGCTGACAGCACCCCTCCTTTGTAACATCCCCTGGGGTCAGCTGCCAGCACAGAATGATGCTTTCTGCATTCTTTCTTCTGTGCCTCACTGACGTCTCCCAAAGCATGTTTTCTTTTTAATTTGTCTTCTCTGGCTTTAACACTGAAAAATACAGATGGTTAATATTATAGATAAAAGTTTTTCCTGCTTTCTGCTTACAAAAGCAAAGAGATTAAAAGTTAGTTTAATTTTTAAAAAATATTATGGGCGTCTAGTTCATTTTAGGCACTTTTCAGGCAATGTCTTCCTAAGAGCTCTCAGAATTCCCATGACTGTTTCTTCTTAATTGTTAAATTATTTCCTACTCATAAAAAATATCTCTTTCATAGGTAGGCAGGGCGACTTCCTCTAATTACAAGATTAGTTGCAAATCTTTGTCTTAAAATGCAAAATGTAGACAGGAATAAGATGGTATCTAGCTATTTACAATCAGGATCCTATTTCATTTGAAGTTTAATTATTGACAAATAGCAATAAAGTACAAGCTTTTTTACTTTTAAAATGATAATTATTAGAGAAAAGAAACCTTCAGAGATTTTTTTTGAAGGTAATTTTTATTATCAAATTACAATTTGACATTACACAGAACTTTATTCAAGAAAATAAAAAGTAATAATAAATAATTTTATTTAAATTCTCAGGGAAAATATAGTTATATCCATATATTGCTCAATATCATTTTATGAAAAAAAATCTAAGTTCCCCAAATTCTCCTTAACTTTGTTCCTTGAATTTAAAAAGTTTTTTTAATAAATTAATTATAAAAAATTTATTTTTAAAGTCACGAATCCAGTGACTTTTAATGAAGAGCGGCCCAATAAACATACTAAGGAAAATAGCATCTTTTATTAAAAAAAATAAAATGTACCCATGGAAAGTGCACAGTATGATGAATTTTAGTAAACGTATACAATTATTCAACTGTCTCCACAATCCAGTTTTAGAATATCTCTATCAATCTAAAACGTTCCCCTAAATCCAAATACAGTAATTCCCCCCCCACTCAGACCTCTAAGCAACCTTCAATCTGTCTTTATAGCATAGTTTCTATCTATGTAGTTTAGCCGTTTCTAGAAATTTCAGATACATGCAGTCATACACCATGTAATCTTTAGTATCTAGCTTCTTTTGCTTAGTATAATGCACTTGAGATTAAACCACGTTGTACTATGTATCAGTAGTTTCTTCCTTTTTATTGCTCAGTAGTATTCCATTGTATGGATATACCATGGTTTTTTTAATCCATTTACCAGTTGATAGACATTTGAATTATTTCCAGTTTGGGTTCATTATAAATAATGCTACTATGAACATTATCATTCAAATCTGTAGACATACATTTTTATTTCTTTTGTTTACATAGATATATAGTAGTACACTTGCTGAGTCATGTGATAAATGTGGTTAGCTTTGAATGAAACTGCCAAATTGCCTTCCAAAGTGGATGTACCATTTTATATGGCCTCCAGCAGTGTGAGGATTTTACTTATTCCACAGCCTCACAAAACTTAGTATTGTCCATCTTTTTTATTATGGTCATTCTAGTGGTATATACCATTGAGGCTTTAATTAGCATTTCCCTAATGGCTAATGATACTGTGCATGCTATCATGTCTTATTAGTCATTCATATATTTTCTTGAAGAAATGTTTATTAAATTCTTATGCCTCTTTTTAAATTGGGTTGTCTTCTTACTCTTAAGTTGTAAGAGTTCTTTGTTCTAAATACAACTCTTTAATCAGATAAATAATTTGCAAATGTTTTTTCAGAATCTGTTATTTCTCTTAAAGGTGACTTTTGAAAGGCAAAACTTTTAATTTTGATAAAAGTCTAATTTGTTAATTTTCTATATTGTGTTTTGGGTGCCATATCTAGAAACTTTTGCCTATGCAAAATTAAAAATCTTCAATATTTTCCTCTAGAAGTGTTAGCTCTTAGCTAGATAAATTTTGGTTAATTTTTGATCAGGGTTTGGGGTAGATGTCTAAGTTCATTTTTGTTGCATATGGATATACAAATGTTACTAGTTGTTAGAAAAAACTCTAGGCCAGGCACAGTGGCTCATGCCTGTAATCACAGCACTTTGGGAGGCCGAGGCGGGCAGATCACCTGAGTTTGGGAGTTTGAGATCAGCCTTACCATCATGGAGAGACCCCGTCTCTACTAAAAATACAAAAAATTTGCCAGGCTTCGTGCCTGAACCCAGGAGGTGGAGATTGCGGTGAGCCAAGATCGCACCATTGCACTCCAGCCTGGGCAACAAGAGCAAAACTCCATCTCAAGAAAAAAACAAAACAAAAACCTATACATCCCTCATAGAATTGCCTTGGAACCATTGTCAAAAATCAATTAGCCATAAATAGAAGGGTTTGTTTCTAGACCCGTATCTTCTTCTATTGATTAATATCTATGTTTGAGCAAATGCCACATGATCTTGACTTACATATTCGGGTTGTCAAATGGGTAGTATGATGGTTAATATTAGGTGTCAACTTGAGTAGACTGATGGATGCCTCAGTAGCTGATAAAGCATTGTTTCTGGGTATGCATGTTGCATTGAGTCTATAGATCGATTTGGTAAGAAGGGTCATTTTTAAAATATTGAGTCTTCTGATCCATAAACATGGCATATTTTCAATTTACATAGATCTATCTCAATTGTCTCAGCAGTGCTTTGTAGTATTCCATGTACAGTTCATGCATATTTTTGTTATGTATTCCTAAGTACTTTATTAGTTTTAAGCTATTTTAAATGAAATGATTTTCTTAATTTTATTGTCAGATGATTTGTTGTTTATATAATACAATGAAATTTTCCTATTGATCTTGTTTTCTACAGTGTTACTAATCTTGCTCATTAATTCTAGTAGACTTTTAAGAGATATTTTAGAACCTTCAACC